ATTCTTTGCTGCCGTTCTTGCCTATAATTAAATACCTATTAATTGAAATAACTGCATTTGAGAAAACCCTCATGATCGCTTGTTGTCCTGTCAGTGTTCCACTAAATACGATTCTGTAATGTATTAGACTTAATTAAATCCTGTGATAGTTATGGTGGTCTCCTATGGTAACGATTAAGGTATGACTTCTTCAACTTCATTCAGTTTTAAATGCATCCACCAGTGGACAGTATGTGTGTTTTTCCATTTTAATTGATGATAATATAAGATTAATAAATAAAAATAAAAATCTGTTTGAATTTGTGAGATACCAAACTGTCATGAGTTATTTATTTTTATTCTGAGCAAAAACTCAAATAACTCAACACCTATTCACCTAGAAAAACCAGACCGCAAAATATTAGCACATCCATACCTTTATTTAAAGGGTTTCAAAGCTAACAATTTCTTTAATAAAATTTTTAAAAAACATTTTGAAATAGACTTGATAAGATGTAAGACGTGAAGATTTATTTCGGTGTAGTGAGTGTTTACCTGCGCAGCTTCTTCTCTGGTGATCAGGGCAGAGGCTCTTCACCTTGTTTACTGCTGTATCACTCTCTGACGTCTGCTGGGTTTGAGTGTCCTGCAGGAATGAGGCCAGGGGATGTGCTCAGATAAATACAGACACTCAGGACCAACAAAGCCACTTTCTGTTTTTTCTCACTATTATATAGATGTCAAAAAACTTTAAACAAAGGAAAACAAATAACCGGTGAGTTGGGATGTTTACAGTGAAAGTGGCATCAGGCCAGAAATGACCTGGACACAATATTTATATCAGTGCAACCAGACAAACTAATCATTTAATCAGCATTTATCTAGATTATACCCACTCGTCAGTATGGATGCTGTTGGCACATTTTGATTTAAGATATTTTCCTTTGAGATCACAGTCCCTGTTTTGAACAAAAGTGGACTTCCCCTGCCCAGTCTGCAGCCAAAACCTGAGGATGATTAATTAAATGTCACAGTGAATAATGAAAGAACCAAAGTGACCTGCAGCTGGAGTGGGCACCACCGTGAACCTCATCATCGCTAAATAAAGATGCACTTGATTGATACGCAAGGACAAAATAAATCAGGATATCCCAACAGGCGTAACAGCGCCATTGTTCCAGCTCAAGTGGGCAGTCATCCTGACAGACGGCTCTAACTGGACGTGGAAGAGGACAGGAGGTTCTGCCTATTGAAACTCGCCCTGATGGGGTCATGTCAGAACAGATCGTGCGGTTACACAATGTGTGGGCTCGCAGGACCACACCTAAACTGAGACCAGACCCAGCACAAATGATTGGTATTTATCATGACAGCTTGCCATGTTCCTGTGATTAAGAACTGGGGACATTACAGGAACCAGAGTAACAATTAAAGGTACATTACTCCGAAATGTCCTTGAAATATTTATTAAAGGAAAAAAAAAGCCTTAAATATGTATATATATATATATATATATATATATATTCAATTTAAGAAAATGAAGTTCCAGACTAAGACAAACTAAGCAGTAAATAATATTATTTTATTATATCAAATTATATATAAATATATATAACAGCAGGACTGTTATTGTGTTCCAGAAAACCAGGAAGTTAAAAATGTTAAACATCCAATTAAGAACGGTGACCATTAAAACAAAACCTCACACACAAAAAAATTATAAATTAAATAAATGATTTGAAATCAAAAAAACATTCTTTTTAATGTAAACAAGGTGTAAAGACAAGTTATCTTAGCCAATATATTTTAGACAGCTAAGTTTCTGAAGGAATTCAATCAAAGGAGACAGTATCCAGTTTGTCTGTTGTTTTTCTCATCTGTTTAAAGACAATATAACTGGGCTTCAAGTGCTAAAATACAATCCAAATATTACCTTATTGCTGTCAATCACATTTTTGGATGTTGTTCATGTTCAACTTTGTTCGTCTGAAGCACTTTGAGCTTGCGCATGTAACGTATGGCTCCAAGTGGAAAAAGTCCATGTTCTCAGATAATCAGGACAGAAATAGAGAAGTAAAAAAAACAAGTTGAAAGTATAAGCAGTACACTGACAGTATACACTATTTTATTGTGAGGAACTACGGAGACACAAGACCACAGGCACAAGACAGAGACATAGGTATTTATATACACAGACAGGGCGGGGCTCTGAGGAGACACAGGTGAGAAGGATCAGGTCATCAGTGCAGCAGGCAGTCATAGATGCAGGTGTTTAAAAGCAGAAAGACATGAAGTGGGAAGTACACACAAGCAAGACAGAAAATAAACCAGGAAAAACACACGTCAAAAAACACACGATTCAAATAAATTGATGAATGTGACAAATAGAAATATAACCCAGAAGAACACAGTTCACACAGTGAAGTTTAGGAGAGAGTTTGGTGAAAATAAAGTGAAAAATAATGTAGGATTCCAAAACAGAGCATTCTCTCTTTTTTATAGAATGGCATCTTAAAAAGTTTTTGTTTTATCTGGAAACACTTGTAAAACAGGCCTAAAATAATATTACGTCTCTTCAGGGGCTAATGATTTTGGAAGAATGTAGATTTATGGACTGAAGCAAAGGGAACAAATAATGGACTCCACTTAGACTAAACAAGACCCAGTGATCAAACTTGACCTTTCTCGGTAAAAAGTATTTCCCTCTAAGCCACAACACAATGTCTCAATCATTACTTAGATATCAGGCAGTGAGTGTGAGAAGCAAAACAAACAGAGAAGAGGGGGGACCATGAAGAGTGCATGACAGTGTGGACAAAGACAGGGCTCGGCTTGCTTCCGAAAACAAACAGCAAATACATCCAGATGGATTTTCCATTTCTGCTCTGTGTTGATGAGAGGAAACAGGAGAATGCCTCCCTGGGATTTCATTGTGATACTGGAGACATTCCACCTTCAGAAGCTTGATCGAGGGAAGCCTCCGATGATTTGGCGTCGTCATCTTGACTGCCCTTCTCGTCCATGGGTGGTAATCCCCTTATGTGGATATCTGGAAAACAGCAGTCCAGCATCTGCCTTGGACCTGCGTTACGAGAGGATGTCTGAGATGATTTCACTTGTACGTGTACCAGCCTCCTTTCCAAACCTAGTATTTTGGTTGATGCCAGGTACTCCTAATGCTTTCCTGAACCATTGTGTATTTCATGGAACTTATTGAGAAATAAAAACAAGCACCAGACAACTCTGGATTAAAGTTACCTGACATCTATTGTTTGTAAGCAATAACAGATGTAATACCAAGGATATATATAAATACAGTATATACCTACGTATTCCCTTGCTGTGCACTGTCAAGTTCATGCCAAGTTTGATCTTTTTTAGTCATAAATCAGGCACGCCAAAAACAGGAAGTCTCTGCAAAACGGAACAAACCATTGAATCTCTCATCCCACCTTTTTCCCCACAAGAAATGGTAAACATTTTGAAGTTACTGAAAATTACAATGATCTGTAACTTACAATGTTGAGGAAATTGGCAGAACCCCCTCCAGAAGATACTGGCCATTCTAATGAACATGAACTGATTTGAAATGTTCCAGGAAGTGACTTAATAACTTAATCACTAACTTCCTGACTTTGCTCAATAGTCCTTTCCATTTACCTTGTACCTATAGATCATTTTCAATAAGAGACAGAGCAAACACGTTCCATGTCTACAAAGATCCAGATCACCCAGTGCCATGACCAGTAATGCATCGTCATGCAGCGCTGGATTTAATGTTCATTGTTAGTGAAAAGAGTAGAACATCTGACCAAAAAAACAAGTTTCCTTGAAGGTTGATTTGTCAAAGACGAGCCTCGACAACTTGCACAACTTAGATGTTTCTATTGCTATGTGCAATACAGTATATTATAGTTTGAATTGTAATATTACCCAAGGTCGAACAGGTCAAGGTCTTTCTGAAATCTTTGTCCTAACTCTTTTGATCATCTTTTCAAAATCGTGAACTCCTGTAGAACCAGTGGCTATTTTTAACTGTTTGGGAATGGGAGTCTGGAATGGTGATGTTGGGAACCTGCGATCATAAATACCATGCTATCGAGGCTATCACCCTGAAAGGCCTAGAGTAATAGACTACCTGAACATGTTCATACTTTGTTCATGTTTTTCTTTCCTTTTGCGACGTAAAACATGAAACAGTAAAGGCTGAAAATTCAACAAGCAGATTCAACAGTTCATACAGTCAGATTTTCACATATCACAAGCCAAACTAATCAGTTCTATAATGGTGTAACTTCATTGGTTTCCCGCTGCACTCATCCTGTTATCCAGCTATGGCAGCCGTGCTCTTTCTGTTCACCTCCAGCTCTAAATTTCTCAGTGGACCATAACTAACCCTTATGAATTATTTTACCATTTCAAAGCAGCCAAGAGGTCATCTGGTTTCAGACTCAGTGTGAGGATGGCCTCCTGCTGCGGCTGCCTGAGTTTGTTTTGAGAGCCCACGAGCAGCTCCAGCTTGAAAAGCTTAGCGGCTACGGTACCTTGACTCTGAGCAGCAAAGGGGAAGTTCCCTCCTAATGCATAACGTAAACTTGGCTCCAATAAAAGCATCCGTTGGCACCTCACTGGACAACAGGAAATCTTTGTTTATCAAGAAACATCCCGTTGTTGGCCTGAGGGTGGGTGACCCCTCGCATGTGGCGGCAGAGTGACTGGCCATAGTCAAGCCCACTACCTCAGGTTTGTGGTTCCTGAAGATAAACAATAAAGGTGTGTATACAGCCAGTATTTGCAGCTCGGTTGTGCGTCAGATCCTCTTACAGTGTGGTATGTATTGTTTTTCAAATTTCTAGACATACTGTCTGACATGCCAACATCCGGGGGCCACAACATCTAATGTTAGAAGTAGACATAATATAAAAAAAATCCAATAAGAGTCATCTTACAAATGCTATTCTAACGTACAGTAGCTTCCATTGAAAATACGTATAAGCTTGCAATGAAAATGCAAACAAAGGTGATAAAAAAATTCTGTTTACTCCACCCAGTCAATGGGTTTTTATTACATTTCCAGCAACAATTCCAATTAATTCACAGTCAGAGTTCAACACATTTAGATTTACATATATTTTGCATATGCTTTTTTTTTACCAGAGAATGGCCACACACACACATATATATACTGTATGTATATATATATGGCTGGTTTAATGACGAATTAATGAATGTGACTTGAGTCATGAAGAATTCTCATTCTAATACCTGTTCTAGCACAATTCCAGTTTCCAATCAGCCATCACTCCCAGGGCGTCAGAGTGTGTCCATCACATTCCGTTGAAGCCTTCTCCTTCTCTCCTTCTCCTCCTTGTCATTTTGATGCCCTCAGTCTCACCCTCCACCTCACAACCACCTGTCAGTGTCTAGGTCTCTGAAGTATTATATCTGTCACTCATCATCACCAGATCATAGATTATATATATTAGACAATAATGTAGCCACCTGACTGTAAAATAAAGATCACTTGTTCAACATACTTTTCAGGACTGGTCTTATTTTGAATGGTTTTACACTTGGACCATACATGGTGTCCAATGTTAGCAATCATTCAAAAATACTTCAATCAACCAATTCAAACATACAAAGTACAAAAGAATCCTTATGTTTCCCAGTGGTATTTACGGTTTACTTCAGGGGCGTTATTTCAGAACCAGATAGGTACTTCCATTCCTGTAAATAGTCTATACTGTACTGCTAAAGCCAAAACTCTCCAGTGACCATCTGTCCATTACTCTGATTTATCTGAAATAAAGCCATTATTCCTTTACAAATCCTTAATAGTTAAATGGTGAACACCTTAGTTCATGTATGTAGAATGCAATGGCTACAAAAAAAAAACTGAAAAAGTTACATTTTAAGAACAGTCTTTTCTATTTGTTTGGAAGTCAAGTAAATAGGTTGCAAACTATAATGACCTTTGATAATATAGAGTCTCTTTCATGATAAGAATGCAAATGTGGAGATGGAGAAATATCAGTGAGCATGTGCAGTACAAGCAGTACCTGAGGTCATGTTTCCATATGTGACAGGTAACAATGTTTGGTACAGTTTATGGTCAAGGTGCAGGTACATTTTCTCACAGCACGCCTGCGTCCGCTCTTCTGCCTCGCACGCGATGTCGGCTAGTCTTCTCTGTGAGGTTTGTTCATGTCTTCCACATTTTCTGCAGGCTGAGGAGTCGCACTCCTGGTACTTCTGCGGTTTCGGCTCGGGCGGTGCTCAGCGAACCAATTGGAGACCGTCATGGCAAGGCGGAGGAAACCCAGGCTGATGCAGTGCATCTCTGACGTGATGGGGATGTCAGAAAAGAGGGCACGGTCCCGACACACAAGGGCACTTCTGCATTCAAAGTCTTTGACGATGTTGAGGATCTCTTGGCGCTCCGCCTGCCGCATCATCCCGCGCATGTCAGGGTGGAGATGTGCTTCTTCCTGTGCGGAGGAAGGATATTAGAAGGAGGATGAGAGGAAGGAAGACAGATGAGTGTTAAAGACAGCTGAATCTCAATGGTGTCATCAAATGCTGCAATGATTGTGAATAACAAAGTCTGATTAGCTCTGAGTCACAGCATCTGTTACTGGTAATAGACACACCATTTTGTGTCACTTCCAGAAAGGTGTCATAATGAATTTAGGAAAACTGGAAACTCAATGTTAGTTTCTGTTTCTTTTTTATTTTTACAACTGTCTTTGTCACGGTCTGCTATGTTACACTGTCATATTTGTCTATGGGTGACCGCAAAGGACAAAATGTTCTTCACATTTATATATTCTTCTCATTTATATATTTCAAATATTTCAAAAGTCATTGGATAACCTGATCACACTCAAACCTTAAAGTAAGGTAACCCATACACCTTGGAAAATGGACATCTAAATTTTAAATCTAAAATATAACAATTCTGTGAAGTGATATTGTAGCTACAGTATATCTGTGGTACACAATGTTTTCCATTGAAATATCGAAAAAAAATCCATCCATATCATTATTTCTTGCTATATTTGAAAATAAGATTTTTTTTTCTATTTGAAACCTCTGGAAATGTTTGGAATTTCGCTTAAAATAACCCTTGAAATGCCTTAATCATTTCCTTCACGGCAATGGAATTTTTCAGACATATGACTGAATAAATGGAGGAAGAAGAGGAGCTGACATGTATTCCCAGGTGCAGTCACATGACGGCTGTGACTGTGGACTGCGCTGTTGTTTTAAGAAGCACCCAGAAAACCGCAAGGAAGCCCGGCAGCTTATGATATCCCAAAATACCGGTAGGGGATGCCATGCAGTAAACAAAAGGGATGAGTCAAGCAGTGAGGTAGCATGTCTCCATGTCTGCACTGTTGTGTTTTGTTCCCCTCTTCAACCCCTCTCCCTCTTTAAGAGGCACCACTCTGTCTCCTGTAGGGTGGCAGGAAGCGGAAGTACTCGGCAGCAGCTTCCTGTCTGCTCCTGAGAGGCTAATGCGTCACATGCGATGGTAGTTTGCCAGCCATCACCTGAGTCTTGATCTGTGCACAAACAGCCCCGGTGGCTCTGCCCCCACACCCTCCACCCTACGAGCCCCCCCCCATCCTCCCTAAGGCCTCTCAACCTCATCCCTTCTCAAAACAGACCCGCGCTCCACTCCCGAAATAGCAGACCTAATGTAGATATGTTTCCGTGCTCCTTTTCCTTGTTTTGATCCATTGTGACACATGCACATAAAAACACACACACAGTCTTGAGTTTTCGCTGCTTGGATGTGTGCCAAAAACAGCAGACATATGTGTGGCAGTAAGCAAAAAAAGAAAATACCACCTTTGGGGGTCCAGCACACACATACCAGGTTTTAATGGAGATTTCCTGGTTACAACAAAAAAAGAATCCATTCCAACAGTCGTTCTGCAGTACAGTTCTCACCTTATATCTGGAAACTCTTTGACCAGCACAGCCACCTCCATCTGGATGGAAGGAGTGTCCTCCAGCAGAATGATATCAGCAAGGTGACAGATAACACTATCCAACCACGAAGAGCTTGAATCCTGAGGAGAAGATGAAAAAAAACTGTAATTTTAGACGGAAGTTTTTCATCTGGCTTCTTTTTAAATGAGTTTTTAACCAGTGCACTTGTTATGACTTATCGCTTGGCCTTTACCTCAAAACCCTCAAAGGAAACATGGATTAATACCTTCAAGTGTCAGAGGCCAAACATTTCAGGTGATTTACTGTATGAATAACAATACTCCACCTCTGTTTTTCCAGGACCTGTTTTTCCTTTATACGCTCAGGAAAGAAAGCTGAATTCCTTTGGCTCTGCATTCACTAAAAATAACGATGCCTGTTTCAGAGAGCCATTAAAATCTAATCTAATCTACACCCCCAACGCCAAGTTCCTAGTTGCCAGAGATACTACGTCCCAATCTTCAGTGAAAGAGTCTCCAAGGCCATCCCTGAGCCACATCAAAGCTAGCCAGCTGACAGGAACAGGAAGTTCCCTCTGAACACAGCGGCTTCCTGTTGTCAGCCGAGGTGACAGACACTTGTTTGAACTCACAAACACAAAGGGGGCAAATGCCACACTGACAAGCCAAGTTGTTTTACACTCTCTTCCCCTGCTGGGGTTAGCGCTAACGTAAGCCGGCTCTATCCATCTCCATCTCACTGACGGCAGCCATTTTTCAGCGCACACTTCTGTATCAACACAGTCTGAGTTATTTCTGACCTAGGAAGTTTGAGGGTCAGGTTCCATTCACACACACCAGCCGCTGCAGTTCCCAGGTCAACTCTGCTCACGGTTTTGAACAATCAGCATTTCAGAATTATTAATGATCACTGAAGGCTGGGAGTGGAACCCAAAATGTCTTTGTCCCCGTGTCAGGACAGGACTCACCAGATCTTTGAAGAGTCCTTTCAGCAGTTTGGCTTCATCTTGCAGGCGGAACGCCATCCTCTTCCTCATCTTGGAAGATGTGCAGATGACCCGTCCTCGCATGATGGCTCTGACATATTCCACCAGGACACGTCGATGCACTTCACCCACCAGAGTCTGTCAATGACACACAACAGTTTTTGACATGCTGTAACCTTTCAGAGAACAATGTTTTTTAACACAGTTTTAAAAATAGTTTGCTTAGTTTGTAGGAGAAGCTCAGCACTTCACCAGGCTGGAAATAACCTCGGTTTATTCTGTTGTGATTAACTGCTGGCTCAGATGCCTTACTAAATCCTAGATATATTTCTTGTTTTTGTTTAAACCATGTCACAGAGTTATGGTTAACCCTGTGTGTTTACCTGAACGACTGGCTCATTTATTTTCCTGCTACTTTGTGTTTATAAAGATCATACCTGATATGGTGGAGGGTCCATCCGTTTGAACTTCTTGAAGTGCTGTTTGATGCAACCTTCAATGGCCTCAAAGGCATCTGTGTTGTTTAGCCATTTTCTCCTAATCAGTTTGTCAAAGAAAGGCTGGAAAGAAAGATCAAGATGTCATTAATGGACAAATCTTAGATTACATTCAGATACGCACTAAAACAGAAATTTAGGTTTTTGAATTTCTACTTCCTACTTCCTTCCACGCACTAAAACAGAAATTTAGGTTTTTCAATTTCTACTTCCTTCAGAGTGAAGTTAAAGTTTAATACAAACATTTAATAGCTTGTTGTTAGCAGTGACTTTTGATGCATTAAAAAGTAATTAATGTATATGCTGCAAAAATATTATTAAACATTTACTTTTTTTAAAAAACATCCTTGAAAAACATAACTGTGGAAATAATCTTTCAGTTTGTAAGACTGTGAAAATCATTTAAATGTGGTAGGCCGTGTGGCATTATTAGGAAAAAAACCCTCTAACTCACCCTAATGTGTTCAAACAGTCTGTCGGTCAGAACCCTCACTGACTGATTGATGATCCTGTCCAGTGAGGAGTCGGCTCTCTGCGCCGCCTCATCACTGCCCTGTGGATCACACTGCCTGCAGCGCTCCACAAAGGATCTGGAAAGGATGATACCCAGATGAAACAATGTTAAGAATTATGATTAAGATTTGGGAAGATTTATTAATGTGAGGTACAGTGGTTCTCGATTAAGATTTGGGAAGATTTATTAATGCATTAATTGAGGTACAGTGGTTCTTATCTCTGTGTTTACCTGAGAGGTGGGCAGCAGTTGACCAGAGCTATGGTCCTGGACACGTATCCATCCCCTCGATCTCCAAATTCAGCCTGAGTCTCATGAAACATCTCCACTTTTCTCTGGAAACTGAACGCATACACAGGTATAAAGACAAACCCAAGACCTGTGGTCATATTACAAAGTAAGAGGAACTGGACAAAACCCATTTATGCACAGTAAGAATTGTCCATCTTTTGTCATCCATCACACTAACCAAATCCAACATTCATTTAGTCCTGTCTTCTAGTGGAGAATCTGCTCACCTGTAGAGAAATTCTGCCAATCCACTGAGGCTACAGCGAGCTACTCTTGCCCCAAGAAACTGGTTCACAGATGTTGATCTGTCCAAATCCACTTTTAGTCTCTAGAAATGTGAGGAAACGGATCAGAAAACATTATCTTGGGAAACTTACACCAAAACGAAGAAACACATGATGTCTTTTCCAGTGGTAAATGTGTTAAAAAGCGTACCTGGATGACAGAACGTGCTAGATGCGATTGATATTCCTCTATATGCAGAGTCTGAGCCCATCGTCTCTCCTCCTCATCTAGAATCTGGATAAGCTCCGATGTCACCTTTTCCTGGAATTAGGTTAGAATTTTTTTTTTTTTAAATGTTCTCTGACCAGACTTTCTAGCTAAGAAGAATAAGAAAAAAAAACATCTTACCCTGACAATACTGATGCAGTCTTGTTCAAGTCTGTCCACTGTGCCTTGAGGCAGAATCGGTTCTAGCGGAGTATAGTTGATTGCTGTGGATGTGCCAATGGTTCCAAGAACATCCCTGGTGGAGATTAGTTCAGATTATTATTGAGGTTTTTGTATGAATCTCCCCAGCTCGACAGGCTTCTCTAGCACATTACCTGTTGTAGATGTTGTAAAACCAGTCCAGCAGTGAGTAGACATCAGTGATCTGCAGAGGGCCATTGGTAATTGTGCGCAGACGTTTGGCCACGCCTCGATGGTAGCTTTCCAGGTAAACCTGGAAGGCAGCAAACTCCTCTGGGTAAATGGACACGGCATTTCGCTTGGCTGCATCCAGGTCGTCTACCATGCGGCTTCTTAGGCGCTCCAGGTATGAGGCTAGGTATCCAGCCTGGGTGTCCACCTGATTTGGCAGACTCCAGTCTGCGGCCTCTGCCACGGCTTGTTTCCATTTCATTTTCAGTCTGCGTGGACGCTGGCTGGACTGGGTCGGCGGGTCATCTTGTTCTGGCTTGGCTGTGTCTCTCAAGGCCCAGGCAGCATCAGCGTGCTCCTCTTGTTGGATCACCAGCACCACAAGACCGAGGCTGGGTCCAGCACTGGGCTGGCGTAGGGACTCCCTCACTACATCCCACATTTCTTTCTGCAGGGCCTCGTACAGGAGCTCCACATCCTTAACCTTTCGTCTGCTTGAGTCCAGTGTTGCGTTGGAGCTGAGTGAGTCATCCATGGATGTGTTGGAGAAGGGGAGAATTCCATGAGGCGTGCTGGGACAATGTGCGAGAGTGACAGTGGGAGAAGGTGGCAGGTGGGACAAAAGCTCACTTTCCCGTTCCAGCTCCTGAATGTGAGTGTCAGCCAAGAGGAGATCTCTGTGATTGACCAGCTGCAAGATCTCAAGCACTGAGGAACAGACAAATACATTTTTATTCATGTGCCACTTTCAATAAAAGGACAATTGATTAAGCACTCCATTGTCTTTGTGGCTGTGAGGTGCCTGTGCGTGTGCCTGACTGACAAATTGGGCTATTTGTTGCTCATTCTGCACACCATTCTATTCAGAGTCAAATCCCCTGTGGAGTTTTTGAACAGAGGTTTGGTTAAAACATCTACTCAGAGGACATTAAGGATGGAGGAAGCGTGTGTCATTTCCTCCTTTCTCACTCCTGTGGTGGTTGAACCCACTGACTCACAGGTCTTGGGAACTTTCCATCTCGTTGGGGCTGTGGCAGGATTTTAGAAAAGTCCATCTTCATATTTTTTTAATGACCAATTACAAAGAGAAGCAAACACGTCAACCGAAGGGAGACACACAGTCTAGGTCAAAAGAACATCTGGAAAGAGTATTGCCTTTTAGTATCACGTAGTATTCCAGGTGTATATTTCCAAGTTGTTTGCACCTTTCTTTTGACTTAGTGGCTTTGTAGAATTTACAACAAAGTTCTGAGTTCTAGAAGATGAAAGCTGAAGAGGATTGACAATTTCTTTTGAAATCCTGCATCTCCAGTAGACGCCTACAATTTAAATATAGCACGGACCTGAACAACTGGGAATCTGTGACATGTTTACTTCAGGTTTGAGGAAGTGGTGACAACCAAAACAGGATACTGCATTCATCAATATTATCCAAAGAGTTTAGTTGGAAGCAACTGGACTTGTTCTTGGAGCTTGAAAGACGTTTCATTCCTCGACTGAGGAAACTGATGAGGAACAAAACATCTTTCAAGCTCCAAGAAGAAGTCTTTGGATAACATGACCTGGATGAATGAGAATTTTCACAGATGTTTATGAATATTCTTATACTGGTTTTGATACCTGAGAGGGGCTCCCTCTTTTTTACCATGGGCTCCTCCTCTTCTGATTCCTCATCAGTCTCCAGGGAGGCCTTGTCTGACATGGAGTCCCTCGTCAGCTTGCCCATACTGACCATCTTGAAGAAAGAGGAGCGTCTAGAGGCTAGCGCCTCACTGTCTGCACTCAGGTCCCCACAGGGCAGACTTTCTCTGCGCTCCTCTTTACGTCGACCTGTAATGCTGCACAAGAGGGAAAAATAAACAAAAAAACAACATGAGTGACTGTATGATTGACAGATGCTTGTACGGCACACCATGATATGACCTAAAGTTTATTTTACTCTGTGCTCTGTTACAGTCTCACAACGGCTCGAAATACCTCTGTTAAAAATAGTTCCATTTACAGAACAGTGTAGGAACACAACATGGTGGTGGAAAACAAAAGAGGTTCCTTAGATCAACAGGCCATTATGACATGTTACATAATTTCTCAGGAAATAAACACACTATACAATCATATTTTCTGTTACTGTGTGTGTTACTGTGCAGTCAATGCAACGGTCAATGTAACTTTTGTTTTAGTTTGTTTCATAACTTGATTCTGAAGTGCCAAAGCTTGATCACAGATCTCCTGTTTTACTCTACTGATCTAAAACCTAATGTTTGTCTCTTCAGTAAAATGCATTTAAATATTTCTAAACAAACTGTTTCCCTTCTACTCTACTCATCTTTCCTCACCGAAGTAAGGTCATGATTCCCTCCGAGCCTCTGCGTAGACCTTTCTTTTTCTCTCTCTCTGGTGGCAATGTTTTCGATTCTCCGGGGCTGAAGTTGGGGTAGTTGCCCCCCCATACATTGCGTCCTGATATGCGCAGGCCTTTTCCCAGTTTTTCCAGGGTTTTGAAGGGTGACACGCCACAGATCCGCTCCAGGGTCCCTCTGAGAGGTTTGCCTTTAGGGTTCCCTGCCCCGTGTTTCTCAGCGTTCACCTCATTTTCCTCCTCTTCTCCGTCGCGCATGCTTCTGAGCTGGTGACCCTGGTGTCCCGTGACCTGCCCCATGATGAGGCCCACGTCACCCTCGTTTCTGTCATCATCATCCAGGTCCACATCCTCAAAGGGGTTCAAGTTCTTCTGCGGGACTTTAATGTCCCTCAGATCATTCAGCTCATTCAAGTCCCTGAGGTCCAAGTCCAGCCGGGGCAAAATGAATTCACCGTTCACCCTGGGGAACTCGTGGCAGCTCTTTGACCTTCCTGGAAGTTTCTTCAGTATTGGCATGTTTGCAAGTGATAGTTTGGAAACTGGAAAACAAAAAGAATGTGTTAAATTAAAACTTAACATGAAGACTTAATTAGACATTTGATTATTTTTAGTTTAAATTAAATCACACAACCAACATTTTACTATAGAAAAACATTAATTCAAAGTCATCTATATCGTATGGGATTCATATCTCTCCCCTGTTAAGGCTAGGCTGGGTGACCTGACACATCGTATCAGTCAGCAGACGGTTTACACAGGCGGAAAGAAAAACATCCTTTCAAACACTGCTTGCGGAATAGTTTTCACTCAGCAAAAAGGAAATAAGAACTCAAAATATTGATACGTTTACATGTGCAACTCTGTAGTCTGACATAAATATTACACCAGTTAAAAACAAACACTTGTGTCGGCCGAGTCAGAGAGGGATTTGATTTTTAGTAAGATTCAATGTGAATGAAATATTTCTCCCCAAACCGGGCAAAGACCATTTGATTCATTTGACCTTTAATTTTTTTATTAATATTTGCAGTAATTAGAAGAACTTTTAAATACAAAGCGTAGTTGTGTTTTTTATAATAGTAGAAATTAATTACCACTACATTACATTCGTACTATTTAGAATTGTATCATTATTTAAGTTATTGATTTAACTTTTTAAGTTTTTAAGTGTCATTACGGTTTTTATGTAGAGAATATATCCAGGCTAAAGAAAAAATAAATATGAATGTTTTCCAAATCAACATAAAATATACCTTAAATTTTAAAATAACAAAAACAAATATACTTTACCAGACGTCAGTTTATGTGTAGTGGATTTGAGCTTAATTTTCTTTAACAGACTCAGCCTCCTGGTCTTTTTATACTTAGACGTAGACGTGACTCACAACCCAAGTATGTACCAGATATGGACCAGCACTTAATGTTTATCACTTCCTATTAGCATATTCGGCAATGATGAATCTTTGGGGGGAAGAAATATTCCCAGATTACAAAACTTTGTAAAAAAGTATAAAGCACAGTTTAATTGAATTTCTCGGTTGGAATTTATGGGTTGTTTACAGGTTTTCTTTAAAAGTCCCAAATAGACAGTGTTTTCTTTTGTTTTTTTCTTTTGTTTTCTTAATAAAAAAGATTGAGAGAACAAACCTGAACCCAAGTTTAGACCTGGAACTCTGGTGAGTATTTTAAGTAAGGCATCATTAAAACAATGGGTAGGTTTTTCCTCGATTACAAAGCGGGTCATGAGAAAGGTCACTTACAGGTTTCATAGAATTTCTTAAAGAAATAAGAGTGAGGTCACCTGAGGTGTTAAATTAACAGACACCACTGATTGACACTGAATGTGCATTGATTAATTAAGGAAATTTAAAAAAAAAACATAAAAAAAGAGTGTGAGTACAGATTCTCCCAGGTCATTTGATCATGTGGCTGCAGGAACAACATGATCAAATGAAAGAGTGCAGTCCAGATGAACAGACAGTGGTGACAGAGGATGAGACTTACCTGATGATACTGCTGCAGCGTCTCAGTACACTGTCATCCTGGAGTGTGTGAGCTGTGTGAGCTGCCAGCTTTTGAGTGTGTGATTGTGTGTGTATTTGTGTGTGGGAGCAGTGAGTGTGAGAGCGTGTCTGAAAGTACTTGGTGACTCAAGAGAGCAATGTGGCTGCCTGTGGTTTCCTGAGCAGCTCTATTGTGGTGGAAGGTGATATGTTTTCCTGAGGAAAGGCCTGTCCCGTCCTTTTGCCCCCTCCTACGCCACATACCCTCCCACCCCACCTCCCAGTCTCTCAATCCCTAACCCCCCCCCACACCTGTGCTCTGGGGACATTTTTATTGCACCAATTTCACTATCTAAACAGTGAGAGGGCAAAACAACAATCAGCCGAAGATTTGCCCTGCAATGCTGAGTTTTCGTTCAAATTTAATCAATTTAATCATGTGCATGCAATATAGTTTGGATTAGTGTTAGAGTGTGTGATTAGAGTGTGAGTGTGCCCAGATTGACGTCTCTAACTAAGATGGTAAACCACACTACAATGACAACACACTGTCTTTGTCCTTGAAGATAAATTCCATCTGAACACCCTCTGCTCTTCCTCAAAGGAAGACCATAAGTGAACCAACCTGCACTGACGTGACAATCAACATGATTTCTTGTCTTTGCTTAAACCACCCCAAAACTCCAGCTCACTGCAGCCACGGCATGAACTTAAACTCAAAGAACCGAGTCACTGGAAGAAGCACAAAGTGTGCAAAAATGCACGTGCGTGTGTCCGTGCCTCAGGTTCAGACGTTATAAAATACATAATAAAGCAAAGCAACATTTCAACAGTACAATTCCCTGTAGGCCAACTCAGACATTTTAGCTCTTTTCTGCCAACCAGTGGACAGTCTGGGGAAGAACAGAAGAAAGAGAACTACTGACCAAGATATTAACCCCCCAACCAATTAGGACCAATTTATTATTATCTTGCTAATTTATTATTTAATAATATATAAACATTGTCAATGCTCTATTTTGAAAATACAAACATTAAAAAATGCATCTGTATGAAATAAGTAATTTTGTGATGCATCTCATTTTCTCACATTCTTTAATAGGAAAGACAAGAAAGGTTTAATTCTATTCAAGAACCTATGGATGTGAAATTCCAATTTAAAGGTCTACATAGAAGGTTCTGTCAATTTTGTATGACCCCCACAAAAACTGATGAAATCTGACTTCAGTTTTTTGTTTTTTATTTTTTTTATTCAAACCAGGAAGTTCCTCTTAGGAACAGCAGAGAAAAATTAAACTACAACATGACCAACTAGATGTTGTGAATTCCTACAATGCCACCATCAAGTTATTTAAAAGCCTGTTGGTGATGGTATAAAATTAACGACTGAATAAAGCACTCATATAGTGCATTTCAGTCAACACGGTTTTCAATTCATATTTATTTCCTATACAGATATTTACATAGAGACAAAGACAAAAGTAATTGTTGCATTAATAATTTATTACTGCATGACACACTATCAACTATGAACTCAGGGAAACAGATGTGAATTCAGTCCATGTGTGATAGTGGTACTTTACGTAACAACTATGCCATACTTAACCAGTGAATCACATTCAATATTTTCTACAGACTTTGCTCATTCACCAATCTATTCATAATAAAAATAGTTACACAGTCTACATATAGCAATTAATTATGGGGTTTTGGTGCACAGTTAGGGACAGTTTGTGAATTTACCCACTGTGAGATGAATAAAGGACTGATTTTATTTGCACACCTGAATGTGGGCCACATCTAACCCAGACAATACTGGCAAAAACGTCTTCAGCTATTAAACACAGACCAACAAACTAAATGTTGTTTAGATAGGTATGGCCTGATGTGGAGGTTAGATGAATGTGGCATCTATTTATAATTATACATGTGGATTAGACAGGCTTCTAATGTAGGACCAGAAGAACGAGCCGCTCACTAAAACTAACCTGTACATTCTAACACAGGGTCAACAGAAGGTCGTCCATATTCAGGATGTTACACGTGAAACAGCCACGTTTGGTTTCCCCAACACAGAAAATGGCTACAAGACAGTAAAATGCTGGTAAAATATATACATTTACATTACATGGCTGATAATACTGTCTCTGTTCAATATAAGGTGTCTTGAGTTATGGACCACAAACAGACAGCTGTGGCTTCACCAAGAGGTCAAGTCTGTGTTGACCAATGTGATGACCTTTGTCGAAAACCTCACCAAACAACAAACTGTGAGCTGTGTCTTTATATGGACCGCCGACAGGTGGTTATCAGCAAGGCTTGTACATGACACCTGTGACATACATGGAAAACTGATCTACCTCACCAAGCCCACAGACCCGTATGAAAATGACCTGACGTGATGTGGCCTGCGTGTGCAGTCAGAGGGTCTGGTTTTGGTGTCGGGTGTGGTGAAAATGATGGTGATGAGGGTTGTTGAAGTGGTACGGATCGTGACGGTAGTGGCTGTGAGTGATGGTAGGATGTTCAACGCCTTCAGTCTGTAGCTCGTCCTGCTTGTGGACGCCCTCCAGTCTTGTCAACAGCTCTTGAATGAAGGCCTGTTGGAAAGTGGAGATCACATGCAGAAAATAACACAAGGATATAGACAAATAAATAAACATGTTAATAAGGAAAAAGACTGGTCGAGTTCCGCTTGTGTTAAAATCAGTGATCTTGACATTACAAGAATAAGCCAGACGATGGCAGCATTTCCTTTCCATTACTGGGACACTACTTTACAGGACATGGTATTTTCTGGATGACATTGTAGTGGACCAACGTGGTAACTACAAGCTGCAAATTCTACTTTTTATTGAATTTTAAAGAAATTGACCTACTCTGAGGAAACAGTTTGTATTTGGCTTTTTTGAAAGGTGTCAAGACTGTGTGTTATTCCAAATGTTCTTTTTCTATCAAACTGTGCTAAAGCAGATCAATCCCTGCTCTGTGGGTTGTTGAAGAATTTCCAGTCTTCCTGTGTTGAACGTGAAAGAAGGCCTCACAGAGCAGCTGGCTCCCAGGAGGATGAGCTCAGAAGCCCCTGAGAGGAAGTTCCCACTTTGTCTGCTAAGTTCTGGTGTGGTTTAAATGTAAAGCTTGAAATTCCCTAAAACCACAGCTCAGATTCAAACATACAAGTGCTTCACTGTGGCTAAATATTGTTACAGATTACCAACTCTGAGACTACAGAGTCAGACAAGTTATAAAATGGATGTCAACAATTCATCAGTGGAAATAAATATTTTTTATTTATTTATTTATTTTTAGTTTGTCTGCTCGTTTCTATCTTTGACCAGACCACAGTGTTCAGAAAGACTCGTTGTTTGACCATTATTATGCTAAGAAACACAAAAGGCTGTTGTTGATGTTGTCAGACTGTGAAAACGGCAAATAAATATTTATGGATGTAAAGAATTTTACAAACTGACAGACGTGAAAAGTCTCATTTGAGGAATCACACACGTACCTCTGTGTTGTTGTTGCAGTTTTGAAGAACTTCCTGTCAGAGGAAACAGTTTTGTTACAATTCAGCTAAACAACCACTTTAATTTAATTTTTTTTAATCATTTACATACTGGCAGCATTATTATTTTTTTCTTACCTGTAACTTTTTCACCCTCATCTCGTCATTCGGCAAATCAATCAACTCGTCGATGTTTAACTCCTCCGGCATGTTGCCCTCCTGCAAACAACATGCTCAGATGAATACTCTCTAGCCAACGTAAACATGATCATTAAAAACCCAATTTTCAGGAGTTAAAAATGTGTTTAAAAATACAAGCTGTAGTTTGATTATTAAATATTACTAACGCTAACTTGGCAGCTGAATAAGAGAAACTTGAAATGCATGTAACCAAACTCCTGACTCCTATATCCTGAGTGTAAATACAGCAAATATATACAGTGTTAAAAAATGTCCTGTTTCCCCCATATCAGCTTTAGTGCCGTTAGGGTTTCTGTTTTATGAAATATGGCTTTAAGTAGTTAAAACATAATCCCCAGCGAACCTACAATTTGACCCTGCACAGATTGGTCATCCTTCAGTCAGTAATGTCAAAAAGAGACTCTCCACAAGACTATTCTATTGACCTATCAAGTTTAAAGATGAAGTATTACAGGTTGCAAATACAGCCTACATCAGGCGTGGGCAAATTTGCGGACCACGATTGTCCTAAAATTGAGCAGGGGGCCAGGTCAGGAGCAGATAGATGGACCGTTTGTGTAAACTGCAGGGAAAAGGCAGAAGTATAATGATAATATAAATAAATTATATCATTTGAAAAGGTTTGGTGGGCTGGATTAAACGGGCCGCATCCGGCCCTCAGGCCTTAGTTTGCCCATGCCTGGCCTACAATGATTTAAGCGTTCTTTGTCATTAAACCAACAGACGCAGTAGAAGAAGACACACGGTTATTCATGTCTACTTCCTTACACTTTGAGCAAAAATAATATTGTCATTATTCAGACCATGTGACAACCGTGAACAGCCTGCACGTCCACCTCCTGTGTGTTCAGACTCTGAACAACAACAACGCTCAGTCAGTACATTAACAGAGCCTGTTGTTCATGGACAGTCGGCCATTGTTCTGCTGAGAGAAGGGACGTGAGTTCCACAGCCTTCCACACCACTGCACTGTTCTCTACTGTACTGTCCTGTGGAAGCAGTCGCAGCTCTGGGCTTCATTTGTCCCCCCACCCCCAAGCTTTATCATTCGCATACATGTACTGTATTTGAAAAGAGGCAGAGTAATACTTCAGAAACAAGTACCACAATGCAATTTCCCTCGATAGCAGTTGATGGCACGTTACAAAGAAAACTGCCACAAAGGACAAAAAACATTTCAATCGAACTAAAAAAAAACGCTGTTTGTTTACGTTGTGAGATGACAACTTTTGTTGTTCACCTCACGCATCTGCCTTACATGCAGAAGGTCCTGGGTTCGAGCTCCAGAGGAACCACCATACTTGATGGCACCTCCTGTGGCAGCCTGTGTGTGTTGCAGAGACTCACTGTGAATTTGCCATATTGGGGGACAAATAAAGGACTAATATCTGTATTTATTCATTTTTCTTTTCTTTTCTTTCCTTTCCTCTAAAAGTCCAACCCATTTAAATCTGTTTCTTTGAAAACTATACTCTACACAGATATGAATGTGAGTGTTTCTGTGTGGTTGTTTAACCCAGTGACTGCTAAGATTGACTGAGTCCCACAGGCCAACCACCCGAGGAATGGGTAAGCAGTAGGAAAATGTATGAATAAATGTTCTGGGAATGTATTTGATGATCAATATACACCATCTTTCATCAAATACTTATATATACTGTCCAAAAAAAGCCTGTTCCCCTGAGAGAGCAGCAGCCGAACACTCTGCCTCCTCCAGGGACATGGACTATAGGCCACAACCCTCTCTTCATTTAATTCATCAGCTCACACTCGTCCCTCACTGTCCATATAAGGCAGAAACTACGGACATGGTCTCAGGGAGAAGTGGACAGGAGAGGACTACACATCTGTCTGGATCATCCCTGGCCTTGTAAGGAGAAGCACTCTGTGCCACCTCTGCTCTCTGCTAAACACGTCATACGTCACAGGAGGCCAGAGCTTCGAAGCTGCAGATGTGGCCTCGGCCAATCAGGATCACTGTCCTGCTGACATGGATGTCCAAATGGACAGACAGACAGACAGAAAATAGGTGACACATTCTGTCCATCTGCCCTCTGATGAGTTCAAATACATTTTAAACTGATAATGATATTTATTTATTTGTAGATCAATTTTAAAAAAAATCTTGATTAGTGATTTTATTTTTATAATTATTTTGTATTTGTATTTATTATTATTATTATTATTATTATTATTATTATTATTATTATTATTATTATTATTATTATTATTATTATTATTATTATTATTATTATTATTATTATTATATATTTTTATACAATATATAATCTTTTTTCTTCAATTTGTCTTTATGAACCTTCCCTTGTTTGTGTGCTACACTTAAAAAAAGTGTAGCACACAAAAAAAGCAGCTTTTATATTTCACATTAAAAAATTTGAAATAACGTTTCTCTTCTTTCGTGTAGTTTACATTTTATTTGAACTTTTAAGCCTTCTGTTAAGTTAGTGTTTCTAATCTCCAGTGTTTGGTCTTGGTTGACCTTTGAAACTGATGCTGGTGTTTCCACAGTTATAACTGACTTTGTTGTGTTTCATTGACTTTGTGCAACTGATATTGTTTGCTTCTTGTTGAAGAAGTTGAGTGGTCAGGTCGGGGAGGTCAGTTCTTTTCTTTTGTCCTGTAAAGCATTTTGATCCTCAGACTGTAAAATATGCCAAGATGACTTATGTTACAGAGAGACGTTTTAACGAAGGAAGTCAAAGAACAATAAAGATAAAGTAGTCCGATAACAAGCTTGGAGTCCACCAGGGGACTCAGGTGCAGTGGACACCTCCTCATATTGAAATAAATGAAGTAAATGTAATTATAAAACAACAAATTATAAAACACCACTTCTTCAGTCAGCTGGAGAAAGATGGAGAATGTCGGGTAACCCAAAGAACACCACCCTCACAGAGAAATACAGAGGGAGTACATGCTTTTACCTTTGTTTGCAACTAGGAATCTTGTAAAAGTAGAAAAGAAACTATAGAAAGAAAAACAAATGATGCTAAGATTCACTGGTCAACGGTGATGATCACAAAGAGACTCAAGTAAAACTATGTGGCCAAAAGTGGATTTTTAGGAGGAAGAGTGACGACAGAGGGATGGACGCAGTCGAAAGAAACACTGAAGCAACAACAATGGGACTGGACTGTTGTTGTGTTTGGACAAGCTGTGCTGAAGGGTCAGTTGAAAACATGTGCAACCTAAAGTTTAAAAACTTCCTGAATTATTATATTTTAGTATTCAGCAAATAGGGTACAGAAACCCCCTGAAATATAGATTTTTTTAATTATTATTATATGTGCAAGAATCAATCAAAGTCAAATCCTTAACCAAGCTAGAACATTCAGAAAATGTTTATCGCCACAGTAAACTGACATCTCAATGTTTATGACACATTATTTCTTCATAACAGCCTGCTGACCATGCTCCTGACCCACCTGACCCTTGTACAGTCTGTCCAGGCTTTCATCAATCCACTTCTCCACATCCAGCCTCCTCTGCAGCTCCTTCCTGTTGTATTTGACGGTAACCCTGGCATGCCTCTTGGGGATGTGACCACCATGATCCTGGAATTCCAGATCCTGCGGCTCCAGCTTGTCCCCTGTTTGCTCCTCGGCCATGTCTGCTCTGTACCAGTCTGACTGGTCTGTCTCTGTCAGGGACAGGAGGGGAGGACGGGGTAAAGGGAAGGGAGTGCATACAGGCTGTTGACCCCCCCCCAACCCCAACCCCTCCTCCCCACCCTCCTCCTGCTCAGCCAATGTTTGTTTGTTGCTTTAAACACTGATCGCTTGCTGAGTTAGATTTTAATATCTGTTCCACAGACCTTTAGACTTTTCATCTTTATCTAAACCTACTAACACAAACTCCCAAAATATCAATTTCTTCATTTGCGTGTGAACTTCATCTGGCTGTGCAGTGTGTGTGTTTGTCCAGGAAGTCAGGGCAAGAAATGGCAGCTAAACAGCTGTAGGTGTGGCTGCTCAGCTGCATCACATCAGGTTGATGACACTGATAACGAGCCTAAACTGTTTTTATCTACAGCAAAGCTGCTGATAAAAAAAAGATATCATTTTTTATCAGCACTGTCTTATACTAATAAATGAATAAATAATGTATTTTTAATAATTGTAATTTTTTTTTTTTTACTATGAAAACTTAGTGAATAATCTATTATACTCAGTACATGCTTTTGATTTGCTCTTCAAAGTACAATAAAAACATACGTAAACTGCTGTATTAGCTAAATTATCTCAGAAACTACATCATGCAAATAGGAAGCTACACTATTGGTGTGTGAAGTATCATTAGTTCATGTGGAGGATTACTATTGGATTTTAAGGAGACTTGTATAATATATTTAAGGTGACACATTGTGTTCTATTAAAATGCCTGGAGCTTCATGAAATGATAAACCTTCTCCCATAGTTTTGGACTGTTTAGGCAGTAGGCTGTCAGTGTCTAAACTTTTAAACTTATCTCTGACTCTCTGAGTTAACCTTGTCGATGAAAGGTTAACTAATAAACTTTAAAATAAACTACAGTTTCTTATACGGTTAGAGCTGTAACCCAGACTCATTCATCTCCTGGTTCTGTGGGCGCAGAATGATTTAGTAAAACAGGAACATTATTTCTTTACATTCAAACAAACGTTTTATTCCACATCACAATCGACACACAATAAAATTAAATAATATGAATGGAAATGTGTAACGTAACACAAACTTTGGCATGAAATAAAAAAAATGGCACATGAAAGAGCAATGAGATCAGTAGTCTTCATGATAAATAAAATCACAGTGAATGAGTGTGTGATAAAGCACTTTTCCTTATATCCCTGCTCTGAACATCTTTGGGATATGTCACACTAACCTGCACAGCCCATTCCATAAACACCATTCCGCAGCATATAAATATATCTCTACATCTGTGACAATCAAAGTAAGGTGAAAAACACAAGTCTTCAAATAAATAAATAATATAAAGAATAAAAAAATGATGGTACTCACAATAAGGAAAAAAAGGTCAAAGGAAGATTGAAAAGCAAAAATAAATAATATTATTTTTAAAAGTCCAGTGTTTAAAAAAAAAAAAGACCAACTAATCGAACAGAGAAAACACATTAAAGGCAATCACCATGAAACATTTTTCGGGCAGGTTTTCCAAACATGACCTAGTGAATATGACTTCCTGTATTTGGTTTGTGTTGTAGGTCCAGTGAAATGTGGCTTTTATTACTAGTCTTTGGGTCTTATACGTGGAAGAGCTTTGCCCTGTACAGTTTTTCATATTCTTTGTAGAACATCTTAGCCAGATATGTTCATCCGTAGATGGTGAATCATCTCTCCCAGATAGTGTTTGGCTCACAAATCACGCTTCTGTCCATGCTCACTGCATGAAGAGAGAGGTTTAACAAGTGCTTATATTTTACTTTCCTGTTTAAACGTCCGCATTTATGTTCTTCATCTGAGTTTCATCTCAGCCCAGCTCCAGTGCCCACAGCGACCTCATCGTTCCACATGAAGTCCTGACGCTGACCTCTGGCCAGACCGCTCTCTGCAGGATTGTGCCTGTAGCCCGATCTGCCGTCTGGGCAGAGTGAGAGGCTGAGGCGAGCTGTGCTGTTGCTGATCTTGAACAGGCCATTCGGACCCAGGAAAGAATCTCTCTCACTTCCACCCAGGTTGTTGACTGTCTCCAAGTCATTGTAAACTGCAATGTCACTCAGCTGCTTCCTTCCTTGTAACCTCCTCCTCCTCCTCAGGATAATGATTGCTGCCACCAGGACCAGCACCAGGACCGCCAGGACGCAGGAGACGGTCACGGTTGCAGACGAGGGCTCAGAGGTTTGTCGCAAAGCTGGCTTGAAACTGGGCTGAAGGGTGAACTCACAACTTGGACCCATGAAGCCTTTGGGACACTGACACACGGGCCCTGTGAAGTGGGTGAAGCAGGTACCGCCGTTTTGACACGGGCGAGCACCGCAGGCATCTGAGCGTACGCTACAGTTTTTCCCTGTGTATCCCAGGGTGCATGAACAGGTGTAGTCATTCAAGCCATCCTGGCAGGTTCCAGCATTCTGACAGGGACTTGAAGCACAGTCATCAATGTTAATCTGACAGTTGGCGCCGGTGAAGCCAACCTGACAGCGGCACAAGATGCTCTGGCCCAGATCTAGACACTCGCCACCTGCAAATGAGAGAAATAGAGTGTTCAGCATTGATAACTTAAAGACAGGGCAGTCAGGAAATACAATATATACAGTATATATAGTGTTTTGGTTATCAGTATACACTTTATCCTCTGTATAATTTATCGTTTTCTTTACTTGTACAAGTCATGGAGATGCCGTTGCCCAGTAGGCGGCAGTACTCCAACTTAGACTTCCATTAAAAACCAATAAGGAAAGGTCAAGTTAGCAGGATTAGCTTCGCTTATGCTAAACTAATGGGTGATTGGCTGCTATTTTAAATGTGTCTGTCCAATAGTGGCATTCATAATTTTCATATTCATATTTTTAAACATTAAATAAATAGTGCATATGTTTCATATTACCAGTTTACAATGATAACTTTCGCTGTGGTAAAAGTACCACAAGATGTCGCCAGAGGAACAATTCTTCCCTGCCCACTCACCGTTCAGGCATGGCCTGTTGCTGCAGCGGTCCAGCTTCTTTTCACAGTTGGAGCCGGTGTAATTAGGAGGGCATCGGCAGGTGTAGCCTCCGGTCATCGTCTCCACACAGGTGCCGCCGTTAAAACAGGGACCGTCTGCACACGTCATGGCAATGATCTCACAGTTCTTCCCATAGAATCCCTGAGGGCAAGTGCAGGAGTAGTCGTTCTCCAGGTCCTGCGGATAGACAAGGGAAAACATAAGGCAATGTCGGGAACTTCTGGAGCCTAACAATAATTAATAATAGACCATTTAATTGCTCAACAATTGTCGATGATAATCAACCTAATTTAATTAATATATTTTATTTTTTTATTATATTTGTTATCATTATGTGATGTGAATATGTAGACCAACCATCACCATTGTTAACACTTACGTTGCAGCTGCCTCCATTCTTGCAGGGGTTGCTGTCGCATTCATTTGTCTCCAGCTCACAGTTGGTGCCCCCAAAGCCGGGCCTGCAGGTGCAGGTGTAACTGCCCTGTCCTGTGTTCGTGCAGGTCGCACCGTTGGTGCAGGGCTTGTGGTTGGTGCAGTAATTGAGGTCCTGGTCACAGAAGAGCCCCCCCCAGCCCTCCTGACAGTTGCACTGCCACGGCTGGCTGCACGTCCCATGGAGGCAGCCTGGATAGCGGACGCACTCGTTGCAGGAGGGGCCCTGCCAGCCCATACGACACGTACAGCCCCCAGGGACCTCACAGTAGCCATGCTTCTCACTGCAGTCCGCCGAGCAGATGGCTGTGGAGCAAAGAGAGGAGGGGTGAGGAGGGTGTGTAATTACAATGGGCACGCCTTCCAGCCCAACTGACACACACACACACACACACACCAAGTCCCTCTGTCTGACCCCAGCCCTGCTCCAGACTTCACTGTTGGTAAAGTATTAACCCAAGCAGCTGGTAGGCACGATGCTGTAGAAAAATACTTTCTTTTATCTCCTTCTCATCACTCACACTCCCTCTCTCTCTCTCTCTCTCTCACACACACACACATTCTTACATAAAAACGCCCCGATCACCTTGACAGATTAGTTTATGCTGCCTATCTCAGGGGGCCACGGTTCTTTCGCTCATTGTATCAGAGAACAAAAGGCAGATGGACTGTCTACAACACAACACTGCAGGACATGTCTCAGAGGTGGACATGTTTATACACCAGCACAGATGTTCATATAGTACTGAGCACAGTATATCAGCTGCATTGTGTAAGCCCCTGTTGTGTATGCATGTATATACTTTCTACATATGTACTTCTTTCCATTCTTAGGGGGAGCTGCTTGCTGAAAGTGTTGACATCTCATTAAACAATAACATATATAAACAGATACATTTCTCTGGAAAGGCCTATACTTTCTCCAAATGCCATGTATGTGTTTTGAATATATTTTGGTAATAATACTGACCTCCCTACCTTGTGGCCCAGGTTTATCAATAAAATAAAATCGACTCCCTTCGTGGCTAATGATTGGACCCTGAAGTTGAACACTTACGCTCAGAACAGTAGTTTCCCTTCCAGCCCTCCAGACAGATGCGATTGCCCTCCTCGTCGCAGGTGTAGTGACCCAGGGTGTCGTCTCTGGGCCTGCAGTATTCCGCACAGCCGTCTCCGAAGTAGTACTCGTCGCAGAAAACGTGGTAGGAGTAGCGCAGCTCGCTCTGCTCTCCGAAGTGCACATCCTGAGACCAGTCTTCTCCGATGGCAAGTCTTCTCCTGGTCGCCAGACGGCTCACCAAGTTGTTTTGGTTGTCTGAGGGGGGGGAGAGAGGGGTCTTCTTAAAGCTTTTCTACATTGGAATAGTGAGTCGTTAGGTCCAACTATAAAGTGACTGAACAACCTACCTGTGTATTCGGTGGGAGATTCTGCGTTCCACGCTTCAATGATCAACGAAAACGTTCCCTGAGAAAGAACAAAGTTGCACTTAGGTCGAGCTACGTTAAAGGCTACTTCAAATGAATTAACCAAAAGGCTCTTATATCTTGGACATTTATGTTGTACTTACCGGCCACTTGAAATGAAACGGCACTCTTATGGGCGCACTGCTGGAGATGGAGGTGTGATCGGCTCTGATGACGTTGGTTTGCCCTGTGCCAAAGGTGCAGGGCGGCTCTGCGGAGATCACATCCTCCGGGTGTTTAAGGCAAATCCGGAAAAAAATGTGACAGTCCCTGTGTCTCCTGCAGATGCGCTGCGCTGTGTGAAAAGAGTGGATCTTGAGCTCAAAGACACCGGACGAGCAAACCTGAGGTGGCAGAGAGAAGAAGACAGTGGTTATTGATCAGAAAGTTTATATAAGGACAAAGACGAAGGGGAGCAATACGTTTAGGTTTATATACGTCTGCATACAAACATACCATATCTGGAAAACGATAGCAGTCCGATAATTTACTTAATGATTCAGACTTTAGATGAACAAGAACATAATCGAGGAAACAATCTATGGGTGGACATTGTTCATTCATGTAAGAAAAACAGAGAGACTTATCGTTAACTTTATGAATACTATTACTACTAGTAGTCGTACAAAGTGAAGTAGTGTTGGTTTTCACATTATTATGTAAAAAATAAACTATCTTACTGTGTGCATTAAGGTCAAAGCCAGTAAGAGTCTGAAGAGTAGCGGTGCCATTTCGGGTCTTCCAGTGAAAATTAAAAAGAGAAAAAATATTTGTGGATGTCCACATTCGACGTGTGCGTTGATATTCCCCCAAAAAGTTGTCAAAGAAAAATCTGAAATGGTCCACTATAAAAATAACTCTGAGCTGTGGTGGTCCTCTCGGTGAGTCCTAAATCCCACCTCCCCGTCTTGGTCCTGGCACTGGTTTTTGTTTGTGTTCCTGTGCGTAAAAGCGCACGCTGCTTTTATACCCTGATGCCGCGCGTCACAGGCAGAGAGGAGGAGGGGGGCAGATCTCAGGGGAGCAGGCCTGGCACAGGACGTCTGCCTGGGGATTTAGACAAACCAAACTACATCTGGATAGGGACCTTGATATGGAATATGCATAAGAAGCAGATATGCTGAGCAGCATGAATCCTAACCATCTGGAAAGTGAAAGAGTCTGGATGCTGGTGGACGGTCGAGGTGTCCGAAGTGACTCCAACTGTTCACAAACATTTAGCATCGAGTGCGAAGACTTTTTTACTTGACTAAAAAAATTATGTCATTTGTTTGAACTATTTTCACAAAGGGGACATGGCCCAACATTAGGTTGTTGCGTATTTATTACTTATTTTTTTATTGTTTATTGTTTATTTTTTTATTGTTTATGAATTTATTTATTATTACAGTACGTTTGTTACAAGAATATTTTTCAAAATGTTTTTTTTTTTCATGAAAAACAAAGAAAACTGTGAACAAAGATCAGAAGAAAGCAGAGAAGAATAGCAGGCCTCCTTTCTTTCTTTACAGCCGACGTTATAATTACTCTGACGCGTGTGCGAGGTGACACAAGACTGTGGGCAGTTACGCGTGTGTGTGTGTGTGTTTGTGAGTGGGGAGGGTGAGGGGCGAGGAGGGGGAGTAGACGCTTTGGGAGACAATAGCAGGGGTTGAAGCCCTGCTGTGTCAACCATGTGCCGTTGATTACCATACAGCTGTTCGTATGAGGTCCAGACAAAAGCAACATGATAGTCCAAACCAACCCCCCAACCACACACACACACACACACCAGTACTTATTGATTTAGGGAGGACTCTGCTCGGCTGTCGGTTTCAGCACCTGTCGCCCGCAGCAGAGATTTTGTGTTTGGAGTAAACACACCTAAGATGTTGCTGACATATAAGCAAATACAGATTCAATTTTTAAAGACATTGTTTTTAAATATTTGTTGGATTAAAAAATGAGATAGAATTGTATGTGATTTTTAAAATAGCTTAATTAACACATTGTATAACTTTTTTTTCCCTTTTTGGACAATTGTATAACGATAGCAGGAGTCACTGGGTGCGAATTCAAAGCTTAAAGAAAATTGTGCCCGTGATTATCAGTGATAAGGAAATGCAGTGTTGGATATGCATGGTGGTGGTGGTAAGTGGAGAGGAGGGGGGGGCGACAGCGCGTGGTTGGGGTGTAGGGTCTTTTGATATTATAATGAGGAAGGGGACGCGTGCCTGCAGTGGCCCCCTGTATATCCTGACATACTTCACTGGGACAAAGGAAGGACGAAACACACACACTTGGATGGAAAGTGGGCGAAGTATAAGGCTTTTTGATTGTAGTTTGATGGAAGTTGTTGGTTTTTTTGTTTGTTTTGTGTGTGTGTGTGGTCATGTGAGTTGGGGTACTGACCCACGAACTGGGCTGGAGCCCAGAATCAGGCGTCATAAATGGTCAGCTCTGTACAGAAGCAGCCACTTATACATCAAACCTTTTTAAGAGTTCGTTTATTGTAATTTCCAAAAACTCTTTTTCTTACATATATTTTGTTAAAACTTTTTCCATCAAAATTGCATTTCTACTAAAATAACAAATATATACACATGTATTTGTTATTTTAGTAGAAATGCAAAATTGATTAAAAAAGAGAGGGAGAGAAAGAGACTATTAGCAAGTAGGCTGTATGGCTGCCATATTAAATCTAATAAAATAACCAGCTTTGGTTTTTTTTATAATAAATGGACAAGAAACAATATTCAGTATTTGAGGACATAAAGTATTTTTTAAAAAGTCTAACAATTCGTTTTACTCCAAACACAAACTCTTCATGCAGTTTTATTTAAGGTAATCATTGGTTTTAAACTTCAAAATGTATTTGTTTTTTCTTTTTTTAATGTTTGACCTTTTAAATTGAACTGTATGTACAGTGTGGACCATTGTATACCATTGATGTGTGACACCTGTGACTTTAAAATATTTCTGGAGCGTTTCTACACATTGCAGACACACTGATGAAGCATGCATCTTCATTATCATCCTCCTTTCCTCTGGGACAGGCCAACACTGAGTTTCATACCTGCTGCACCACAGCGATGAGGGATGTGTGTGTCTTTGTGTCTGCACAGCAGATGGACAGTGCACCCTCTCTGCGGCCGTCATCGATATAAGCTTGCAGGAGTGTGACATGAGTGTGCCACAGGGCATGGGAACCAAAGAGCAGTCATGTCATCCCCCTCGGACCTCCCATTAGTACAAGTGGCCTGCATCTGCCTCATCTTCAGCCCGCAGCAGCTTGGGGATCCTTCTTCTCCCTAAGGACATTAGGAAACAGAGAGTCAGAAAGGTGGGGGCTGCTGCAAATCTGACCCAAGCAGGCCCTCCAGGGAGAAGTTGGTCTGTTGTGGTCACTTCTGCCAGCCCAGCCTGCCGTCTGACTGTGGAACAATGGGAGGTGTGGACAGGGTGTGTGTAGGTTTGTGAGTGTGTACACGGAGGCCCAAATGTGTGCACGTCATTTGGTTGATTCGATCATTTCATTCAGATGCCGGCTGCAGTTGGGTACTGCACAATTTACACTGCATCGTCAACTCCTCACTCTGCAGATTTACGGCTGAAGTGACTCAGGGTCTCTGGAGGAGTATTAGACAAATGGTCAACGGACAATAATACTGGCAGAAATACTGTGTCTTTACTGTGCCTGGTCACAGATGAGCAAATCAATTGTTTTAAATGTTTCTGCTCTTTACCTCGTTTCCTCAGACCATCTGTGCTACAGTCTACTGTTCCCTATCCCACCCACCCCAGGAGACAATGGGTCCACACACACTGAGAATAGAAGACCTCAACTATGACAAAGAGATCATATGAAACCTGTAAACATCAGATGAAATAAATGCAGAGCAAAGCAGCAAAATCCAAAAACAGCAAAATCCAAAAACATCCAAAAACAGACTGACAGAGTTGAAGAGAAACTTCAGGAAGAAATCACTGAAACTGAGGCTGCGTCTCAGCTCATATGATTAAGGTCAAAGTGGTTACATTTACTGTTCAAATGTCATAATATTATTAGACTGGAATGTCTAGCATAGAAAACATTAAAAATGTTTCAAAATGTTTAGCCATCCAGTGTGAACCTCACCATTACTATGCATTTTACCAATGTCAGGTGAAAAGTGATGCAGTGTGAACATAGTGACAGTGAAAGGACGAATGTCAACATTTTTAACAATGCAGCCAAATATGTCATCACTTTAAATCAGTGTTTAGCAATATTTTTTGAGCCATGGCATATGTTTCACCAGAAAGATCCCACAATGCACCACAAAACTAAAAGGTCAATAAAAATATGCAACTTTTCCAACATGACCTCCTTTTCTCTAAACAACACTTCAACATTATCCCAAAAAGGACACCAAATTACTTTGTGGTGATAACGAGTCTTTATAACACATGCATACTTACTACAGTTTTTTTTATTGTATTGTGACTATTTTGTACATCTACAGTTCATATTAGAGTATTAGTATTGGTATTAGAGTAGTATAATATTATTGTCATTATAATTAACAATAATTATTATTATAAAAATAACAATAATAATACTTGTGCCCAATAGTGTCTATATTATTCTGTCTCACATTCACAAATGCTCATTGAAAACAACAATCATGGTAAAGTAAATCAATCCTTAATGTGTAATTACTCTTTTTGTCAGGACACAAAAACTTAATCTCAACACAGAGTAATGCCGTGCTTTAACCTACTGTTCCTGTGCCATTCCTGCAGCAGTTCCAGTGACAGATGGGAGATAAAAAAAAGGGAGGTGGGAGAACTGAGGGAATGAGAACAGGTGGGGGTAAAAACTGAAGAAAAGGAAAGGTCACAGGGGTCAACATGGGTACTGGGAAGGAGGAGGAAACCTTCATATAGGCTTGCAGAAGGACCGATCGATGGATAGATTTTTACCCTTTTTGTGGGGCCTTTAAATCTGTGTTCATTTGCCAGATGCCAATCAAATGCTGTGAAACATTTAGCTTTGGTGTTAAAATATGACGTGGGAACATTTTCTTCCGCCTGTTGCTATGTTAACTGCAACAGCGTTCTACAAATAAGAGTTTTGGACAAATTTCCATTAGGATTTATCCACATGAACACATCATGTCAAACAGTGTAAAATTACAAAAAAGACTTTGTAAAGGCATTACAAAATAAAATTTGCATTTAATGCATTTAAATTCACGGTTTAAGTAAGGGCTGCATCTTATGCTAAAAAGCTAGAGAGCAGTAAAATACAGTTTTATAGACGCTCAGTGTGAATAATAGCCTTTAATAAAGGATTATGTCTCAGGTTTAAGGGCACCGTAAAGGACTGAAGGTAAAAAGACCAGAGCACAATAACTGAATACAGCTGTCTATTGAAGACCACATCCCCTCCTGTCAGTCGCTACGGCCCCCTGCCTTGCAGCTTTGGAGGAAACCGCAGCAGACTGTTGAACTCCTGCTCCATCCCAGCTCTGACCCCTCCCTGCTGCAGTATACTGCTCCAGCCTCAGCAGCTGTTTAACCCTATAGAGGGAGAGGGGGGCTGAGGGAGAACAATGGAGTTGGAGTAAACCCTGCTATTGTGTGTGTGTGTTCTTGTAAACATTATATATTTTTAAATCAACTTCAATCATTTTTATTCGTTTGTGTATAAATACAGATTTGTACATATATATATTTTTAAGCTAATCAGTCTTCCTTTTTTACATTTTTAGATTCACTGAGATTTCATTATTTTATGTCACTGCCTTACAACTCCACAAAGTAATTTTGTAAAATGTACCACTAATTTTGCCGGGTTTAATATTATTGTTCTATTGTCATCAGTTGAGCTTCATCCAGTCGTGATGCTCAAAATGCCTTTTAGAGGACAATTTACAGGAAGTTGTTGACTTGATTTTGGGGGCTTTCACTTAGCACGTATCTTCATAAGTTCATGATGAAAAATAAATCATAATGTCCCAGCTTAAACAATGGGCTTTAATGAAAGAGTGATGAAGCCTTAACCAACAGTTGTGAAAGTGAAACAGAGGTTGTTGTGATTTTGGTATTAGTTTCCATACATCTAGTTGTTCACTGACAGTGGTTTTTTGTTTGATCAAAAGTTTAGTTCTGTTTTCAGCTTGTTAAAGCTTAAATGACTGCCAATGGGAGCTCTACCAAGAGAGCCACTCATGTACAGTATATGCTTCCAGGTCATTTCATTAGATGATTAACCAAATAGAAGTTATTATGGCTTTACCTTGTACTATTTTTCTATTTTGACAATAATTAATACAATTTACAAAATTAAAATTAATTTATTAATTTGTGACAAACACAAGGGGCATACATAAATTAATAATCATTATTTTAAATAATAATAATAATACACAACATTGTTTGTTTTCTTGTTTGTAAGAATACTTATTTAGTTAATCCACTGTAAACTTCATCCATTTACCGTTTAACTTTCTATTTCTTGTAGATGCAGGTTTTATAACCGTTGGGGTATTTGGTCTTTGTACTGTCACATGGCTAGAAACACCTCAAGAAACAGCGCACTGCCCCCTGCCGGTGTCTGTAAAACTGGTTGAACACCTGCAGAATCCCCCATGAATCTAGATTGAATTGAACTGAATGTTTTGCTGTGAAAAAACATTTATAAACATGCGCTTGCTGTTATGTAGTGTTTCCAGACTTTATTTGCAGTACCTGTGGAGAAGCTGAGTTTTTCCAAATATAAATGATTGGGTACATATTCTGGTTGACACAGAAACATGTTTTAGACTTCACATATTAGGATTAATGTAAGATTTCAAATATGTAATAAAATCATGACTTTTCCTCAGCAGATTTGCAGGCTGGTTAAATACATTTTATTTCATTTGAAAAGAAATCACGGAATATTTTATACTCAAACCTTCTAATTAGAAAATCTAATCCAATCTAATAAATGTATTCAGTTTCTAGTTGTTGTTTTTTTAATGATTTGTACATCGATTGTGGAGCCTACAAAAAAAGGACCATATAATGGTCAGGTGCAAAAATCCACTCACATTTACAGTACATGTGATAACTTCCAGAAACGTACACGCAAATGGCTTTAACCAACCATGGCTTTGAACAACAAAAAACATGAAAGTGGGAGGAACAACTTTTGTAATGTGAGTGGAATGAATCCCACTTTCAGTAGCAAAAAAGAGTATTTATTTTGCAAATAATGGTTTCTCTTTCACTGTGTATTCATGCGCCCACAGAGACCATTTTTCCAACGTTTCCAAACAAAGTCAAGGAACATTTGTAAAGAATTATTAAAAATAACAGTAGTTAGCAGTAAAGCTCAAAGACACTTAAAAAAACCTGTATATACAAGATATACTGTAGAAAGTCAGTGACAAAACTCACAGCTTTGACTCCTGGTTGCTATAATGTTGGTCGTCCATTCAGTTTGTCATGCATGACAGCAATGGCTCCCCCTGTGAAGTCTCTGAGAACCTGCACCATGTCTCGCTGCAGCTGCAAAGACTCGCGAACAAACTCGTGCTGGGTCTCGGCTAGCTGCTGCACCGACTCAGACAGCAGCTCCAGTGAGCGTGAAACCGTCTCTAGCAGCATGTTAGTAGCGTGCTGCTCCTGAAGGCTCAGCGTTGCATTATGTAGCATGCTGTTTGAGGAGGGCTGATGTGAGGCTATCGAGGCTGATGCTTCACGAGCTGTCTGAGGCTGTCCTTGTTTTTGTAGGCCATTGCTCCCTTGATGATCCTTTGTGGAATTTACTGAGTGGATGGAAGGAAGACTATAATCTTTTTGATCTGAGTCGGAGTCTCCGAATGCAGCTTCATTTTCTGTTTGAAAAAAAAAGACCTTTTAGTTTTTTGCTGATGACTAAGACATTAAATCCAAAAACTCTTATTGAATGAATAACTTGATAGCTCACCTTCTGTTGGAGGTACTTCATATTGCACATCAAAGGAAACATTTGACGACTCTCCTGTAACATCAAAAGTATTTTCACAGTTCATTGTCAAGAGAACGAAAAAAAAAGTAAGACAAAAAAAATCAACTTCTAAGCTTCTTGAAAATACTATTCGCTTGTTAAAACTGGCTGGAAGCATTTTATTGCTTTGTGTCCTCACTGTGGTTTGGGTTGAACTCAAATACATGCATACTGCATGTCACTATATTTCCCACAGATCTTTGTCACCTTAATATTTCCATTTATTGAAACCAAACATGTAAAAGGTATTGGTGTTGGTACTTGGTGTCTTAGTTGTATACTTGTATTAGTTTGTAAAAACAAATGTATCAGGACAACCCTAGTTAGCACCATAGTTAGATGGAATTTATAATAGTTACTACCTGACTGTTTTCTCGTAGTAACAGAGGTTGGGGGAGGCATAGACCCCATGTCACCATTTGGTGAATTCTGCTGTTCCATCGTGTCCTCTTCAACCTCTTCCTCGATCTCAGCTCCATCATCATCATCTACCAATGGGCCATATTCACTCATGCCTTTGTCATCGTCATCCATCTCCAGGATTTGAAGGACTAATCGTTCTGTGTGATTAAGATCTCGGGAGATGCGTGAGTTGAATCCCCTGCTGAGCATGTTCCCTGACTGCATTGCAGCAACTTTCCTCTTGGTGTCACACTTGAGATCAGACCATTTCTTTACAACCTCCATGACTTCACGATGGCACTCTCCAATCTCATTGACCTGCGCAGTGATCTCCGTCCATGTCATTTTCTTAATTTCTGTTGGCACACCACGGTTGTATTTACCTGTGAATGCAAAAAGAAATGTAAATACCCGGCAGGTGCTAATAATGGGTAAAAAAAAAAAAAGGAAAATCGACAGTAGGTTCGAAAAATTGGATTCTATATCCTAAACACGTGCATTGAAGTCAAATGCTCCTTCCATTGACACACAAAAAGACAAAAGAATGCATAGCATGTACATTAGACACATACCCACAAGAATTCTACGATTCTTTCTCACTTCCTCCAGCAGCTTGTGGACTTCATTGAAACTGAAACGTGCTTTTCTTTTCTTGAAGCGAATGTGGTCTATGCCGTAGTATAATGATGACGACGACATTCTCCACACACACAGTGTCAGCACGTGTCAAGCTTTGTTGTCACCTGTATACTCTGGTCCACCTTCTCTGCCTGACAGACAGGAACAAGACTTTGATAAACAACAAAGTAGAAAACAGTGCAAGTTGTCACACCAATCTAAAAGCTGGATACTTACATTTTTACAATCTTTGCATAAGTATAGATAATATGGAAAGTACCTGAAGGTTATTTTGGATTCTACACTTCCTTTTATAATAAGAAGAACCCGGGTCTTTGCAGCAAGTACCACCATAGCTCATGCTTATATTAAAGGGGCATTGTACTGGAAAATATTAGGCAGATATAAGGGCAGCCCACTGAGTTGTTGCTATTGCAGCAACTGATTGAAGTGGGCCTGGCATATAAGCCTCCACAGAATTATAGCAATATGTGGGAAATAATCTGAACTAAGACATGATGTGCAGGAACGCACCTAGGAGGATAATAAATACCAAACTTTATATGTACTCTGTACTTATATGTAACTGTACTCCCTGCAACTATTTTTGAACATAGTGTTCATATGTTACAAGCTGAAATACATAAAACAAAAAACATGGACTGATAAATATTGCCATCTTTAAAAATGTAAGAAAGACGACCTATTAGCTGATATAGTTCAATGAACAAATATAATAATATATAATATATGGAGCCTCAGTGCAAAGTTTCATGGCATTTTTACTTTTGATACGTTTGTTTATTAGACTTCTGTGACAACAGCCACACATGTCAGAGTGTTTACATGAAACAACGATAAAAAAAGACCAACTTTTCTTGTCTACCAATGTTTCTAGTGATATATCCTCTATTGGGCTAGGCTGGGGTGGAGGTGAATCTTCATCGTTTTATTCACATTTGATTTATATATATTAAAGTTTAATATCAGCAAGAAACATTATTATTATTATAGTAAGACACGTTGAGCAAGAAATATCGGTTTTCAAGCTAGCATATATCCCTAGCATATATAGAACTAATAGAATTCTGTCTACCTCTACCGTTAACTGGGAAGTAGCCTAGTATTATGGTTTAAAATTGGACCATATTCATAGTTTTATATTTGTTACTTGCGTTAAACACTGTTATTGACTTTAGTACATTATTTTAGTCTGTCGAAAGGAAGATTGTATTAAGATGAACCACAACTCTGCCATGACAATAGAACATAAAAATAAAAAGTTTAACAAAAATGTCAATGCGCATAGCATTTATATAACTATCCTCACGAGGTGTCGAAAGCGTCTTGCAGTGAGTAAATGAACAATGGACGGCGCTATAGTTGCTATAGGTCCAATGCTATAGCATGGTCAGCTAACTACCTACCATTAAATCCCTGGAAGTAAATAAAAGACAAATCTTAAAACTTTAAAATATGCCAAAGTAAAGTATATATTTAATTCAAAAGCGACCCCGTTCATTCATTTTCAAGACTTTATTTTGATTTTACACAACCAAAAACGTTTGCGCTTTCTGCAGCAGCAGCACCTTAGCTAGCGATGCAATACTATTAAAATAAATAACAAGGTGCTTAATAAAACATTTTCTCCGGAGAATAGTAGTAATCAAATGAAAAACTTAAGAAAGTGAACATACCTTCAAATTTGTGGAGAAATATTTTTTTCCGCAAAAGGTGAGGCTTAACTTCCTTATTACCAGTACTGCTACCGTCAAGCTAGCCGGCGTTAAGCTAACGCTTAGCAAACTTGTGTCCGGTTATTCAAAATCGATGATGACTTATATTTCACCAGTTTAATATTTGTGTTTTAAGTAATTATGTGGCGTCTCCCTTCTGTATGTTTCATTCACAGTTATTATTTAAGCAAGGCGATTCTTCTGATAGTTTAACTAGTCTTTATTATAAACAAAACAAAAGTTGTTTTAATTTGAAGGAGCGTCGATGAAACATCCTGTGTCATGAGTAAACTCAATTATAACAGAAGTGTGACTACTTTGTTGACACGCTTCTCAGTAGTCCAACTGCGATGTTGGGCGATTCATTAACGCTTAGGTTGCTGGAGAGCTCAAAGTTTTTCAAAACACTGTAATACATTTTGCATTTTATGTAGTCATGTTGTTTTTCTGACAATGGGGGGCACTGTCCCTCTATTTAGCAGTTTTGTATTCTGTATTGCGGTCCTCCTCTGGAGAGGAAGAAATATGACGTTTACTTATCCCTCAGTACCAGAAGCCCAAATCCCTTTTCCGTGACATGAATTTGAAATACTTTTCTTTTTAAAATGAAGTAATATCAAATGTATGCCTAAAAATAATTTAAGGTTACTTTTTAAAGAAATATTATCATGAATGTACAATAAGAACGCTTATTATTATGTTGATAATAAAGGCTCCAAATAGTGGTGATACAGAAAATTGTTCCACCCACCTGAAACCTTTGCACAGTCATTCCACGCACGTTATGCAGTATATAATGAACAATAATATTTTTTTGAATTTTTTGATGTTTATTTCAAATATGGCACATCATTTTTGCAAACATTTCCAGTAACAGATAAATAACTGGCTACAACTGCAGGGTAAAAACCTCATCAACATTTATCATTTCTACTGGCTGCATGCATTAGTGGCTCACACATCAGTGATACATGACAGTTCACACACTGTGCTGGTGTTATCTCTGATGCAGGTATATTTTGAGTAAGTAGTGATAACGTGATCAGTTAGTCAGCTGACAAACAGAGCATTGTGACTAATCTGGATCACCAGCATTAATATTCAACTGCAAAGTGCTAGCCTGCTTACTCACCACCTTATTTGACTGTTTTTCTAAAATTACAGAAAAGTTAATAGAACTGCATACGGTTAATAAACACATGAAAATGACCTCTATTGTCACAGCAAATTTCAGGATATATGCTATTTTCAAAATTGGAATCTTAAAATAATATATGTAGAGAGAGATAGCATTGGGGTTTCTTACCTTCAGTGCACAATTCAAATGTAACAATGATGGATTAAAATATAAGGTAAAAAGCCATTAGTCTGTGATGTGCTTGTGACTGACTATAGTGCAAAACACATGCACTTTCCTTACATTGTATGTGAGCCACTTCTCAATAGTACCATCAGGACTGATTTTACAAAGACACAGCAATTACCTACTTTAACATTCATAGTAGTCTGTAGTTTGTTGGTGGTGCCTAAATATAGAAATTTGAAAAGTCTTTAAGAAAAAGTCCTCCACCCATGCCTTTTCTCAAGTGTTGTAGCCAATTGCGCTTCCTCTCAGGGCTGAAAGGCATTTCCTTGGCACTCCTTGTTTCTACCCTTTGTTGTCATTAATCTAAGGACATGGTGACAATGGTTTCCTAGAAAGCTTTTGCCATCAGCCTTTGCAGAACATGCTAAGGTCAAATTCTTGACAAAAACTCCATGGCCGCAAGGTTACAAACCAGAGGACTTTTGAATCCATGAGGTTACATTCATTGACATTTGACAGTAGAATCTGCTAAATAAAAAACAAGGTGAGACACAATTATGTAAAATGTGATTGTGATGTCATTATATTTCTTTTCTTTTTTTAATATATGCAGTGAAAACTCCCAACACCTAGCAAGAATTGTGCCAAAATATCAAAACACCATTAAGCATTAGTGTGATTTTTTTTTTTTTTTTTAAACCTTTTACTTTTACACTTTTCATATGTACGAATTCTAATTGGTGACTTTGTAGTTAAAGGCTCTGTTCTCCCAATATCTATCTTTATCATGTACTACTATGAATAAGTTGCACCTTTGACTTCTGTTATGCAGTCAGAAAAGGTGTGTTCCCGATGCAGTTTTCACACACGTCTGACTGTGTTGACACGAGTTGGAAATCTGCACTACTTAGACTTAAGTTTCCAGTGGCGGTACATATGCGTTTGAATGAAGTGAACAGAACAAATACATAGGTTCAGTACATTATTGTCCCTGGCATTTGTACAATCAGTCCCACCTACAAAATGATTACATCTTTTTACAATCACATTAACAGGTGGTCAATGCTACCTGCCTTATGAAGCCATTCTGACCAAAGGTAAAAGGGGCAAATGCCAAACAAGTAAACATGTTAGCATGTTTGCTACATACTTATCCAGTAAAGCTATAGGTACTGATGTGATCCAAAATGTGTATGTTTTTGAGGCTTTTTAATTCTTTCCAATGAGTATTACAACTGCTGTAGAATCCTTCCTAACGTGCATGCCCTTAATATTGTAAATGTGCCAGATGTACCTAGGGGATTTGAAAAGTAACATATAAAGTAAAAAGGGTAATTAAGTGAGGAGAGAAACAATACGGTTCTTTATAACAAACAGTGGCACATCCTCTGGACTCAGGAATACATGGTCAGCTGAAGCCACTGAAAATACACAAGAGAGAAGATAGTGTTTATGAGGAACAATGGGTCTTTCACTTCATTAAATTTTTTGTTAAATATATATCCTTAAAACATTTGGACAAATTTACCTCCTGGACATTGACTTTTATAGTTCCGTTGTTATCCTTATCCAGAGTTTTGAAGGCACCTGAATGAGGAGAAAAAATAGACAACACTACCTTTAGTTTTTTGAGCCAAGTTCCAAATCACTGTTATCAAACAGAAACTTCACGGGAAAAAGTTTATCTTAGGAATGCTTCTGTAAAACTTACGGCACATGGCATCCAGCCTCACAAGGCAGCCGATGTAGTTATCAAAATCCATGTTACCATTTTCATCACTATATCTGCGAATGATCATGTTGAAGAGCTGGTCATTAAGGGGGAAGCCTGAGGAAGAAAATCCCAAAAGACAATACCGTTATGTTACTAATAATGAAGCACATATGCCTGCTAGTGTTTGTGCATGTGTGTGTGAGAGATGTTCATACAATTTTATTGAAGTCTGGGACACAATTCATATATTTCCTATTTCCAAAATTTTATTGTTGAAAACGTAGGGACCCTCTTTTTTTACTCTACCTTAATTAAAAGTTAGATATAAAAAAAAGAGAAGATTCTCACCAGCAGCTCCAAAAGCGCTGGGCAGCTCATCAGCGCCGATCAAACCTGAGCCATCTCTATCAAAGGACTTGTACACACCCTAAATAACAGTAACAACACATGAATTTAAAACATCACTGGCATCTTACATGGTTACCTCAAACTTTTTCATAGTTAGTAAGACAAACATATAGCTACTATCCATGAACTCTGGTGCTGGTTGTATTATAAAATACAGTATGTATATATAAAATATATAATATATAATATGTCAAACTTTAGTTCAAATAATTTAAAACAAAAAAGGTTAACCAATGAAATTTTATTACCTTGGTTAAATATATTTTATATAAACTATTTTATCATATATATAAAAATATATGATAAAAAAAACTACGCAGTGAGTAACCAAGGAACACGGGTAACCTGAACATCAAGTCTAACCTCTCTGTAACCACAACAGCCAGCTGAACCAGCTCCCAGTTAAGCCCTAGTCTTCTGCCTTGTCACCAATAACAATTCACTGTGTTGTTTACAAATGTGTGTAGCAGAATTCAGGATGATCTACTTGCCTGCCATTTCTTGATGTTGTTCCACAGATGTTTAAATTCATGGAAGCCCAGTTTCCCAGTGCTGTCACTCTGAAGGAGCGTTAAGAACAAAAGGCAACTCTTCTTTCTTTAATTACAGCTTGTACAAACAGCAGTACCTGTGTTTGCCTAAGGTGTATCTTTTATGCCCTTGCACTCTGGTAGCCTACTCAGGAGACAGTGATGTTCTGAAACAGTGCAGAAGCTTAAAATGTGACAAGAAATGAAGAATAACTTTTTTTACTTTCAATTTTAAAACCTTCTTTGTTGGGCTATTTTTGACTATATATAAAATAAAGGTAGTATTAAAACATGTCTTATGTTTTACTTATTAGAGATTGTGAGATTAAGCACCTTCAATGTGTATTTACTGTTTTCATTTCACAATCTGAGACCATTAAACATTAAAACCAGGATCTATTACATGCCACGTTTACCTCATTTTGAAACTGTATTACAGGCCAATGCAGAAGTTTAATGTATTTCCTTGGCCTTAATGAGCTCAGAGCATCACAGAATATGGTAACAGCTAAAGATGGCTAGAGATAAGACCAGGATACATCCATGACTGCCACCATGCTTCTGCAATTCTCAATGCTGAAACCATCTGTCTTCAGATCACCATCTGAAAAACAGAACAAAATATTTATTTACATTTCATCAATATATATTAATACCTTTTTAATTCATCATCTATTTTAAAAAAGTATAGCAACATTAAATATTACAAAAGCCAACATCTTACGTTTTGAAATAATTCTATTCAGGATGCTCATCAGCTCAGTTGGGCTAACCTCCAAGTCCTTAAAGAAAAAAGATAACAGTAGTCACTTTTTAGACCTCCAAAAAAGCTATAGGCAAAGAACAACACAATAGGTGATTAGCATTTCATGACATCTATATGACTTTTAAAAATAAAATGGCAATGAATGAAACATCACTCACATCACCAGCCAGTTGCTGGAAGACTCTGCGAAACTGTTTCTCCTCATCACTCTCATGTTGGTCTGCATATTGAACTGGCATACGTGGTGGGGGCTGTGGGAAACAATTCTCATATTTACAAACGTAAAGTCTGTGAGGATTAAATATTAGCAATGTGATAATGGTCATATGATGTTGGTTCTGTAATGTTTAACACTCACTGGTTCAGAGGGAACAAACATAGCTGGATCAATGTTGTTGCTATTGTGACAGGACAGAGGGTGTGAGTTAAAAAGTTTAAAGACAGCAAAGCACGATTTTATTAATATGAGTCTTTTGTATAAAAAAATATACATATATTCTTACGTTACAACATCAATGAGGCCAGACAGGAACCTTTTGGCCGCAAACATCTTGCACCAACTGTAAAGTTCAAATACAAAAGAGCATTGACTTAAATGTTACATATTCAAGACCATTAGGAAAATTAAACAAAATTAATAAATAATGAAGGGCTAATTTAAAAATGGCTCTTATGTACAGCTATAAACACATCAATTACTTTATAATACCAATGCTAAAAGCCTTCAGAGTAAAAAAATATATAGTATTATAGTCTATACTATTACTACTTTGTGTACTTTGTGGAATTTTACCCAAGCACTGACAAAAAACATCAACAATCTAGTACCCTACAATAACAAGTCATTGGAAGAGAATAATCAATAACCAATCATTAAAATTAGTATAAATTACCAAAACACCACGGGAATATACAATATATTCCTTTTTATTCATAGTTAAAGTTTGTGTCAAGGGAAGCAGCATCCTATTATATGATTGCTGAAGTACTTAACATGTAAAACCACAGCCTAAGACAAACTGTCTGGGCCAGTTGTTGGGCTGGTTATAGATCATGCAATGGCATGTCTTCTTCATTTCCTCAAATACACTGCACTAGAAAAGTTCCCACACCCACTGTACGCACTCATGCACTTCTTCTGCTGTGGAAACGTTCTCCGATTTAGGAAAAAGGATGTTTTAGGTCGTCGTCATGACGTTCAAAATTAAAGAGTCATTAGTACTAAGTCACTCATCTCACGTCAACGTTTTGGTGATTTGGTGTGGGTAGGAAATAACCCCAAAGCGTCGCGCTTCGTGGTATTAGCTGTGGTACACTGTTAGCGTTAACATGATTTTTTTTTTTACAGTGTAAACACTGTCCACATATCTAGGCCCTGCAAACTGTTAGGTAGTAGGGGCTAGAATCTGGGGCGTAACCACGCTAGCATGTAGGCTTGTTACCACACACATAAACACACTAAGTTTAGCATTAGCTCTGCTGACATTCAATTAGCTGTTATGACAAGGAACGCAATATGACAAAGTCAAAACCCGATCAAATCTTGCACCTACTAATTTCCCTGCAGTTTACTAGAAACAAACTATTATCTACAAATATGTTTATAGCTACCTTTAATGCAGCGAGAAGATGAAGCGATGAGCGTAGACAGTAGATGAAGATTGCGAAAGTTCTACCGAACTACAGCTGGCACAGACTTGGGAGGCCGCCTGTAAACACACCCTGTGTGACGCTCAAACAGGACGTGACGACAGAAAAGGGCAGCTCATTTCATGGTGCAGAGATGCGTTATCACGGATGTACAGTGGAAGGTATACTCATTTCCTTACCGACCAAGACCGTTTATTCAGGGCGATAATTCAGTATGCTTTATTAAATTAGCTTAAATTATTTGTTATTAATAACGCGACGATATATTGAGTTATATAGCAGGGTAAATAATTTATATATGTATATATGCATACAATTTTTTTTTTGGAAATAATAATAATTGTTTGGAAAGGAAAGGAGTGTCCTGCAAATTTACAATCATTTTCTGTTAGTAAAGCTCCTTCTAAACTCTACCATGGGTAAATGATCGACTTTGGTTTGATTTTTCAGTATATTGAAATTGAATAATTAACGGTTTAAGTCCTGTTTATTAACTCATGTTGTATTTAACTGAAAAAACAAATTAATTGCAAACAATGTTAAATAATACATTTTTTTCAATCCCAGGTACTTCTAGAAAGCCTTCAGTGACTTCAGATCATTTAATATTTCTTGAAACGCCTTGACAAGAAAGATAATTGAAAAAGCACATTTGATTATACCTTAAAATTACATACAGAAAGTAGGCCACTGCTTGGAAGCCCAACTATCGCTCAGAATATTTGCAAGAAGACTTGAGGCGCAGTTACAATTGACTGCACACAAAACTGAATAATTAAACACAGCTTAATGAGAAGGCAGAGAAAATTGTGTTGTCATCTATTTTGACATAATCCTTCTCTCTGATAATTGCAGCATAATAGCTGCGATTACCACAGACACACGCAAAACTGCCAAGTGAATCTTTCTTCCCTGCTGTTCTTTGATGATCATGGCTGCAGAGAGAAATGCCATAGAATTCCTTTGTTAGGGCATATGGAGAATAGCTGCCTGTATTCACAATGATGTCAAATGAAACAGTTCATACATGTAGTCATTTTATTTATCCTACAAACGCCCTGTTTATTCTGCAACAGCTCACAAATAAACAGGCTAAGCTAAAATGGACGATCAAAAAGTTGAATTTGACTTAGTTTATTTGACATAAACTAACACTCAGGTGGGTTATGTTTCAGGTTGTAAGCAATGTGATGGTATTGATTATGTCGATCGTTGTTTGTTTTTTGGGGGAGATTAAAAATATTTTTCTTTTTTTTTTCTGGACACAGAGCAGTTCGCCTCAAATGTCTTTTCAAAAACACGATGCTTTCTCTTTAGTCAGTAGTCACAGACTGCGACATCATCTGATGTTTTCGTTTGACCACAAATACTGTACAGCGCATTAAAGACTATCAGTGCTGAATAAAGCCAGAAGGTGGAGACAGAGAGCACATAGCTGAGATAATACGAGCACGTATCGGCTAGTTAATTAAATGCAAATATAGCAAATACAGATATAAATCTCACTATATTCAGTCCTACTACTCAATGTGTACTATTTATTTCTGATGATATCAGAGTACAAAACAGGAGGCAGCTCATCCTACCAAGTGTAGGTATTTTAAAATTGTAATGTAGCAATTTTGTCATTACTGTGCATTTTTGAAAAAAGTAGTGAATCACTATTTAATCGACTAAATTAAGTGCAACCGAATCGGTTTTGAAGATTTCCACATTTTTATGTAAATTATATTTTTGTGAACACACAATAAATTTATATTTATGTTGCTCTATATGCACCAATGACATTTTTTATACAACAGCAACCACTGGTGAACATTCAATATCTGATTCAGTTCTTCTACCATATAAATTAAGAGAGAGGAAAATCACCTTGGCAACATTCTGCTCTCTGTCCAAAGTTCCTTTTGTTGCATATTCATAACAGCAAGTGGCACAAACATGTCCCTGTCTGGGTAAGGGTTTGGATTCTGTGGCATTCTGATAATCCACTCCCTTGTTTCTTGACTTTGGAGAAGTAGCTGAGCTCGTCTCAGCTGTGTTTTGTTTCTAACGTACGTACATTTCCTTTAATTCCCTGTGGTCTGTACTTTCCTTGTTGCCTTGACACTGCCAGTACCTTGCTCTGCAACAGAAAGTCTCAGAGTCTCTCTCTGCTCTCCAACATGTACAAAGAAATAGGCAACCTGTCCGTGAACTGTATCTCAGCTTGCAGTTGCAGGAAAACATCTTCTTTTTCTGCCATACGTCATTAAAATGATTTTGGCTTAATTAGACAAATACTCATCTTTCTTGTATTTGATGTACAAGCATCTCATCATCACTCCTTTATTTGGTTACTAAATTGACATATTATTGTCAGCCAATGGGATACTGACAGCTGTATGGTTTCTATGACCACAAAATTGTTCCTGCAAAAAAAAAACCTAAACATAGTATTTTACTCTCGAGGTCATTATACTGAGGGATGTCGTATTACAGACCTATACTACATATGAAAAAATGTATTTAGATATATGCTGTATCAGTGACTTGACATTTAAGAAATGATAAAAATGATGTGCCGATCCAGTGATATGTGTCTTTCAGGTCTCACTCCAGCTAAAATTACTTCTGTCCATGAAATGGAGGTATCCATGGTTACAACAGGAGCCATGTTAAAGGGTGCTTCAGCGCTTCTCTGCTTTCCAGCAGCCTTCACTCCCCCCCCCCATTCATCATTTAAAAAAATAAGGAATCCAACTGCAATGATTCATAGGGCAAATTAGATTTGCTAAAATGATTGGTTTCAACCATGTGAATTAGGACAGACTGCCTTTAAATAGTATCTGAGGATTATGAATTCATAGCGTGTTACCTCTGCAGTTACCTATTCCCCTTTGAAAGAGGGAAGGCAGAGCTGAACTGGAGGCTGGAGGTTGAACTATTGTATATCCGCATCCCCAGTACAACATATTTGCAGTGTTAAAACAAACTGTTTCCTTGACAACGCAATTTTATCATTCAAGACCATTGCTACCTTCTCTCGCAGCTCCAATCAAATGTACCTTAAATGCACACTGCTGCAGGCTCGCACACTTTAATTTAAAGTGGAGACGAGAAATGTGAGGGGCTGAGATGTGCAGAATGTCTCTGGATTGTGATTTTAACAGTTACCGTACACCGGGCTGTGTAAGATTCTCTCTTGCCTTTGTATGTTAGAAATGTGCTGCATTGCTTCATGACAAAAGGCACCGTACAATTAAGGTACAACTGAAAAGATATGCTTTGAAGAGTGGTTTTATGACAGGCTAACCATCGTGGCAGTTATGTGTAGAATTAGATTCCTTCCATTTTCTTGTGGCATTCAAGGGATAAATCAAAAAGAATAAAAGATTAAAAAAAAGATAGTCTTTATTAGCCTTAGCCTTTATTAAACAGTAAAAATGTAAATCCCCAAGTACCACTGACTCATAAAAGGTAATATTCACTGCCTAATTGATGAACATACAGTATGTGCAAGATATTCCTCATCTGCATTTTTGCTCCTTTTCTGTTGTTTTTCTGAAGGCACCTAAATCCAATTAGCAGCAAATTTTATTTGTGGCTCCTGGAAACTAATTCAGCGCAGATTGCTAAAACAGGAGTGCACTTTAGGCATGTATTTTAGAAATCCTCAGTTCTGATTTAAATTATTTTTCCTGACCTTCAATATATTTTTCCCTCTTGTGTTTCTATTTGAAAGCATCAATTCATGGTCTGAATGTATTTCTATGACTCACTGTATTAGTGCTAGAAATAACACTCTTGTTGGGAAGTTTAAGACATCTCTCTCTACGTCTCTAAAGAAGAATCTATAACATGTTGTTTCAAATGCAGAATAGAACATGCGTCTCATGTTTCTAAATAGAGTACAAAAATGCATTTGAATGATCTCAGCACAGCTGCAGCCCTGTCCATATGATGTCATTTCCCTACTCGCTCGGCTGGGCTGAAAGATTAGGACTCTGTCTGTTGGCTAATGAAAAAGGTCATTGTAGTAGGAGATATTAAAGTCATTTGAATATGTTAACTTCTGTTTCCTACATTCTCCATTTTATTGGTGTCATCTGTATTTAGCAAAACACTGAGCATGGCTGCGCTCAGCACTTTAAGAGTCAATAAAATGAATTCAGCATGATTCATGGAGTTTTATTGGACAGATTTACTTGCGAGCAGAAGAGCCAGCGCCAGTCTGGTGTAAGTTGTATTTATACCGAGATAGAAAAATGATGACATTTTGCGTTAGACTTATTGTACTGACCAATATACTAACTATTATTTACAAATTAAATCTAATAATAATTCAGAACGGATATAGTTATTGTGCCATAAATAAACTAGCATGACTAGTTTGCCCAGAGGTTCTAGTTTAACGTCTGTAAATTTGTAAACTGGCCTAAAGTAATATGTAGACAACAGCAGGTGTTAATGATCATCATAATGACTGTGTTCAGTTTAGGTAGGAAAGTGAGCCAGCATGTACTCTGAAAATGAACAAGCTAAATGGAATTCAGCCGTCATTAATTTCATTATTTACACTTTACTTTTTCTTCTATGACCTGTCAAATATCTGCCGGGCAAAAGGCCCAGAAAATCGTTTCATCCAACTCTAAAACCAATCAAATTGTTTCGCATAGAAACTTAGCACAACTTTGGTCAAGATTAATGTATTAAATCTTTAAAATGATGTTTGGATACCACTGATTAAAGGCATTAACCATGAGCCAAAATGTCATCAAATAACTGTTAATTACAAAAATGTTCAACTCACTCAAAGGCATTCACTCTGTGCCTTCTCTGGCCGTGTGTGTGTGTGTGTGTGTGTGTGTGGACGGTGTTGTGGTGTTGCTGGCTCAGCATTACTGCAGCCCTGTAATTAGTCGATTTAACTGAGAACACCTGTACGCGTGTATAAAGATTAGACTATAAAACGTCGCCTCAGCCTTTAAAGCCTCCTCGTCTGTCCCTTCACTTCTCTGCAGACGCTCTACAATCTCACTGTGAGCACAGAGAGGACAAATATTTGAAACTGTGGTCTCTCAGATGCTTTGTGGAATGAAGCAAATGTTCATGTTTGCAGATGGACTCTGGCCAAATCA